CCATTGCATTCAGAGTTGCGTGGACTCACAGTGTACGCTGGACACGAGCTTGTCCTTTCAGCACCAACTTCCATACTCGCCAATTTGTCATTCCTCATTTACTGATAAAAAGTAAAGGCTTTCACAAGCTCCAAGATTATTATACATGGTCTGACATTTCTACGTTCTTCGAGATTGGTTGGCATTTTAGAAACGTGTGCAAGTTAGGAAAACGTGGATGAAACTAGGTATCTCGCCGTCGGAATTACCAATTATTCAACCAGTAATTTAGATCCTTTTAGTAACTAGCATGTGAACCGTAATCACTCTAGCACGAGCAAGGTCCCGTCAAATGACAAGCGTATGTTCTATGGAAGCGTTTCCTCAACCCGGTTAGTGATTCGTGTTCAGCTCAGGTCTCCCGAATTGGTTTAATGAAATAAGGAAATCTCTATAAAGGATTAACAATAATGAAATATGAACAGTAAAACCGTATTTGATTCAACAGAAACCACTCCACCAAATGTTGAACGTTCGTTTATTTGTAAAAAGAAGACCTCACAACTTCACATTGCCGACGCAGCATCATTTCCAATTTATTCACTAATAATTTGAAAATAGCAAATTTCTAGCAATTTTGAACAATTAAAAAATAAAGAAAATATTGTTGCCAAAATTTATGAAATTCTATGCTTCATTTTGTCACCAATATTGCACTGAAACCTGCTTTGTGTAACGTATAATTTCAGTAACCTCACTTGCCAAAATGTAGCGGTGCTAGTAGTGTTCTTCCATCCGCATCGTTCCCGCCTTTCCTCCCACTACTAATGTCCAAAATCTTCCGTCACATTTTCCTCCTTGTTTGACTACCTCAGTTTGATCAACTCGTGTTGCAGCTTACTCGAGTTAGTTTATCTGCAGCGACTTCGAGCAATCTTTCAAAACGTCTAGTCAGTCCTCGTGTCACTAGTTCGATGTGAAGGTGATAAATTCAAATCAAATACTCTTAGTCAATGCCACTAATTCCAAGTTCCAGGTCTACCGGTCGCTACAGATTTCTAGCCATGTCTTCAATGAGCTTCCGCATAGTTGCAGTATTGTTAAGGAATCTCTATCGAACTGAAGCTGAAAAGTACGTGGATTTAACTCAACAATTGTCTTATGTGAAGCAAACTGCGGGTGTGCATCAAAGCACCGTCGATGGAACAGGAGTCGAGTATTAGCAAAATTGGTTCGGTGCCAAATGATTTAACCATACGCCCAGAGACAACACTTAGTGCTCACAAACTTCTAAGCAGGACGATGTGCCGTACAGAGCGCAGTACAACGGCGACGTTTCTCTGTTGGCTAATACCTTAATACGATAATAAGTTCAATAACAACAACATTGAAAAGCGTGTGGAACTTACCTGGAAAACAATATTAGAATTTAAGTAAAGCCGTGGATAGCGTAAGAACTTTGTTTTCATTGTAACCTGCAATTCCAATGTTTATACTATTTCTGTTCATTCAATGTTGGACGAATGTCAATACCCCATACGTAGTCGTGCACAGACTAGAGTTCACTGGCGTATGTCAATACTCACGCGGGGTCTCTCGTGGGCGGATCATCTGCTCACTTAATATCGTACATGCCAAATACCGAATAGATGCTACAAGTATTTACTTTCTCATTACATTCATTCAGGAGATAACAAAACTGGCATGAATAAAATAGGTTCCGGTGTTGGGACTCTTCGATAAGCAAATAAACTCTCGGTCCCCCAGACATTTAATGAATAACTATAATAATAAACATATGATCGATTCTATACGAGATTACAAATAAAGAAACCGTGTATTACCTTAGCTCTTTTCCTAACTCCGAACTCACGTTTCTGAAAATGCATGAATAAACAAATTACGGACACTAAACAAATCAGAATATAATGCATACTTTGCGAAAATAAGTTACAGATTGATACAAGTACTGATATTCCTAGTCCCTACATAAACCACTGGATATATGTAAACATGATTATCACAAGAATAACTAGACACAATACCTACACGCACCTCTGTGGTGGGATTCCGATACAATGAAGAAATATGAAGCGCATCTAAACGAGGTCACATCAAAGATGAATCAAAATGCTAAACGATAAATTACATGATTCTATTGCAATCAATCTCTTACAACGATATCCATTAGAAAGCTCAACTAGTAGCATCAAGTTTCGAGTTGACTGAAGGAATGAATTATTCACTTGCCCCAATTTTTTTCTGATTCCGTTCACTGGAGTAGCGGCTGCTGTAAACTGAAAAGGAGAAATGAAACCTTGCGCGAAAAATCTCATCCCGATTTTCTTTTCTCATTAGAAAAACCATAATTGGATATTATATCTTGACAGAGGTAGGCGTTCGTGTTTGTTTTGACGTCAAGCTTCCCAGTTCAACTTAGAATGGATGTAGGTAGCGTTTTACTTCGCCCAGGACACTGAATCAGACCCTTTAAAGCATCTATCTCGTACAGTGTATTCCTGTCACGTACATCCCTGCTCATCTTTGAGGTTTCCCTAGCGCGATTACAAAATCCGTTCTTCACTTCAACTCGTGTTTTGGAGAAACGAAAAAAAAACATCGCCCAACACTATAAAAAAAATCATTATCATCGGAATGCATTAAATAAATAGAAAAAATTCCTTAACGAGCCCTACGAATCAGGGCCAACAATGCGGTAAATAACTCGAGCAACGACTCCGAAGTCCGGCTTGAGGAGGAGTTCAAGTAGGATGGTTTGCTAGCGCTTCAGCCACAAGCTATTTCGCATCGGAGGTCAAAAATCAACTTCGCCAGCAAGACGGAATGGCTGTAGCGTCCAGCCCGTTGAAGATGGCTCAAGAGAAGCAGAGTTAACATTCAAGAGCGAGGAAGTTTCAAGGAGGGACAGGTGAACAGCAACAGAAACCAAGAAACTCTTACTAGTCGCTCCCATCATACGTCTGGCAACCCCATGTGAGAGACAAAGATGGGAAATATCAGGAATCCAACCTACACGAAAACTTAACCCCATAACTGAGACCTATATCAAGATACTGCGAGCTCTGTGGTGGGGCGCTCAGGGAGAATGCCCCTAGAAACGCACAAATGTTTCCCTACATTGTAAACTGGCTTACCTCTTTATCAGAATCTAATGCTTCGAATAGCGGCACCAGCGGTTTCACAATAACATCGGGAGTTTTTTAACCCTCTACCGCCTGACATGAGTAACCGTAGCAATATTGTCATACAAGCCCACTTCCCAAGAAGGATACGTTGCTAGTGAGCGCAAAATGACTTGCGCCGATGGTTGCCGCCACGTACGATAACTTTAAAATGTTCTCTGTTCCGTACAAACGTCCTCAGGTTGCTACACTCAATAGTTTACGTTTAATCCAAGTTTAAAGTTATGTTCCCGGAGTGACTTACGGCGGTAGAGAGTCAATTACAGGAAATCAACAGTCCAATTGCATATTAACAGAGCTTACAAAATAAAAATCTCAAAATCTAGAAAAAAATATCCTGACAGGACGAATATCTCAAAAAGTAACAATGATAAATTATGCTCCAGCAAAAAGGCACTTCCACTTACAGTTGGCTACTTCGACACCAGATTTTCAGAAATCGGCTTGAATACTCAGCATCATTTCTACTTAGACTCCATTGGAAATAAAACAATTAACACAAGACGTGCTAGCGCATAAGCTACCAAGCTGTACACCACAGCAAGTGACAAAATAAACATCTCTAACAAGGTGGGAGGTCTCAACTATAACTAATTTATTGAATCCATCTTATACGTCTCCGCAAAGAAAGACTTAAATGGACTGGCTGTTAAAAAAAGAATCAACATCTCTGAAACGAAGAAGGCAGACACTCGTACAAAAGGTCCCTTAAACGAGACATCGGACGCCTCCACCTGAGAAGGGAAGTACAGGGAGTCCTTCCAACAAAAGAACTTGCCTTAGAATTTAGACCCGTAAGCAGCCAGCGCGGCAGTTGTAGAGCACTCAGGGACGATGCCCGTAGGCACGCGCAATACCGTTAGACATCTGACGAGCTAAGTAGTAGTAGTAGTAGTAGTAGTAGTAGTAGTAGTAGTAGTAGAATGGTTTGCTAGCGTTTCAGCTATCAAGCTATTTTGCACCGGAGGTCAAAAGATAACATCACCAGCAAGGCATAAGAAGGCCTCAATTATTTAAAATCTTGAATTATTTTTCACCCGCAAGGAACGGAAGGTCCTTTTTCACCGAAGCAGCGGCTAGGACAAGAGTCAAAAGAATCACTTAGGCTCTCAGCAATTAGTCGTCTTGTATTGTTTGGCTGAAAATTTTCTATTTGTATCGGTATAGAAAAAAAATCGCGTGACCCTAACGCATGAGCAGAAAATTGTTCCATTTAAGCAAAGCATTCATTGCCTGAAGTGGCGGGAGGCTTCAAAATTATATGACCAGCGGGCCAAAACTGACCCTTAGGTAGCAGCATAGGACTGTCCGTCGCGCCCCACCTCGCTAACCCCACTGGACCTCTGGTCTAATCCTCGACCGACTACGGCATTCCTCTCATCGCTTCCATCCTTCTCAGATATCCTTGGAGTGGATCCTTCGCTCCCTCCTCCTCCGCCCCCGGAGCCGCCGCATTTGCTGGGGAACCGCCGAGCAGAGGTCCCGGGCAACTAACAACAACAGCAGCATAGGCATCTCAGGATCAAAGAAGAAACAGGTTAGCAGCAACTGAGACGATGACTCTTGCACTAGGTCGCTTACATTAAAAGTCGGTCGCTAAGCGCCTCCAGGAATTTCCAGGAAACTGCTCAACAAGCAATAAACCCGCAACAGAGACCAGTAAACAAATGGTACCGGTGCTGTGGTAAAGAATCAGCTCATCGTATCACCAATAGAATTGACTCGCTGTGGTAAACCATCAGCCCATCGTATCACCAATAGAATTANAAAGCTTAGGGGGCATCCGTGACATGTCGCAAGTTTTAAGAAACTTTGGCTTCAAGAAATTTCAAGAAGGCGTCAAGCTCAGCTTTCGAAATCTAGTGAGCGGACATCAACAAAATTAAATTAAATTGAGCCTCATCTCAAGAAGCACGAAACGATATATCACAAATTTTCAAACAATTCAATGTAATGTACCTGCATAGAGAACGTGAGCAGCACTGGGCGAATGTAATGTACCTGTAAGTATTGAGAACGTGAGCACCACTGGGTTAATGTAATGTACCTGTAAGTATAGAGAACGTGAGCACCACTGGGTTCGAGTAAAACAAACATTTGATCGCATCAAAATGATGAGAAAAAGAATGAAAGTAGAAGTGTTAGCATCTCAAGGAGATGAAGTTAAAAGGAGGGACAGGTGAACACCAACAGAAACGAAGACACTCGAACAAGAGGTCGTTCACATGGGACGTCGGCCACTCGCGCGAGAGAGAGAATGGAAATGCAAGTAATCCTAACTGAATAAGAACTTAACCCATCAACTGAGCCTAGGAAAGCGATATCGCATAGAAATTCAGACGAGCACAGACACACACACACACATCAGTAGTCCCACTGAGGAGGCAAATATTCACAACATCGAGCACGACGACAAACATCAAGTAAATCGCGTGTTCTGTGCAGCAAATAAAATCAAGACACATAGCTTAACACAACATTATGCAATGTTAAAAATGTTTAATACTATAAACGACGTGTATCATCTGTAATGTACGGACAAAAAAAAAAAAAACAATAGTTGACATTTCAAAAAAATTCACACATTTTACAGTCAATTTGCTTCCCTCAAATTTCATTTTCATTAAACCAGATGGAGCAAAGAGAAAAAAAAAAACACGAGAGACACCACAACCAACTTTTTAGGTTTCAAACCTGCAGCCTAAACTAATTACTTCTGTATTTATTGAATTAGTGAATATGAACTCCAACTGCTTTTGTGGATGAAATTAAAGAAGGAGGCATTTTTTCCGCAACACCCCAAGTTACAGAGCACTATTCCAGATAACTTGGTTCAAATATTGACCAACCAACTGTTCATTCCAAATATTTTAAATATGACGCTTTTTGGGATGGGATGAAGAAATTCCTCCTAGATAAGGAAAACACTCGACAGAATTTATATCAGGATGTTCTTCCTTACGACCTCCATTGAGTATCAATTTTTTTAAACGTCCACGACAAAGAGCCACGGACAGAGAAGAATCGCTTCTAGACACTCCACGGGCCATCGCTCTTCCAGTAGAGCGTCCCACTGCGCGACTCTTCGCTGGTACAAGACAATCTGAGTAAAATAAAGAATCGTCCTCCGTTGCCTTCTGCTCCGATGCAGCAGCCGCTGACTTGGGAGCTCCAAAATAAACTATACCGGAAAACTTCTTACCTACCACATGACGACCACAGTCTTTCGTTTCACCCTTAGCAACGCATCCTTTTTGGGGTTCGAAGGCTTCTGCAAGAATTGTTTCATTCAGAGCATCGAACGACTGATCAAGTGTTGATTCAGATTCTTCATCAGCCTCCAAACCCGTTTTGACAATCTCGTTCACATCAGCATGGGAGGATTTAGTAGATTTACAACGAAGAACTTCTTTGGATCCATCCGAGGAGGAACCTTGCGATTCATTCTTTTCTTTGAATTTCAACCCTCTTTCTAGGGCAGATTCTGCTTCCTGTGTTTTTGCTTTCGATTGACCATTCAATTCGTCTGATTGGCTGAGAAATGATTGCGTAGAAGAAGCAAGAGACAATTCGTGACGTTCTTTGCAAGCATGGACACTGAACATTGCGTTGACCTCGTCGACTGTGTACACACTAGTTTGGGAGCTGCTGGCTGACTTGTCAATATGTACTCCAGACGAAGTGCAATCGCTCCATACACGCGCGGTTTTTCCCCTGTGGCGCCAGGAGGACTGATGCGTCATTTCTGTCCAAGAATTTGATGAGCTACCCACTCCGCGGTCTCCTAAAATCTGAACGATTTCATAAACGAAATGAGAATTTCCATTGTTCCAGAAATTAGGTTTGAAGCAAACAAGCTGCTAAAAACACCGTCACTCAAGTTGTCTCTTTAATTGCAAATGATAGAATCAGAAGTAGGGTCAAACTGAAATGCATGGGCTGTTACTGCTTTCAAAATGCCATCATCCGCAAGGCAAGGGACACCTGATGAGCAGCCTCTACATATTATTTGCTCTTCAAACGTAAAGCAAAAATGGGGTCGTCCAAGCTGTTGACTTTCCAATCACAGCAATTTAAAATTAGATATTTCAAACCATATTCACGAGCTTTTTGTGGTAGATGAAAATTACTGCTTAGTTTAGAGACAAAAAAAAAAATAAAAAAAATAATAATGATAACAATAAAGACAAAAGGCATTGGTAAGAACTAACCTCCTTAACCTGGCAGGACACTGGAGCCTTGGTAATATCTTTCCATGACTCATCTTCTTGTATTAGAGGCCTTGCAAATTTTCCAGTTGCACTCAGTAGGCCCATATTCATGGGCTCCGGCTGACTGCAGTTGGCCAGATTGTCTACAAGAAATTTGTTTTTAGACAAAAGGAAGCAATTCCATATTGCTTAGAGAAAATATCCTCCAGCAACTCGCAACTCGCATCTCACAAATCAATGGCCATTCTATGTGCAAAAGAAACGTGGAATCTTTGTTATATAGGTATCACAATAAAATTCTAATAATTATAAGAAGTTTCATTATAATCATTAATAAACATTTTGAGAATAATATACTTAGCACATGAAAAATCAGTATACTCCTTCCATTTCAATAATTCTGAACTGATCTGAGCAAGTGATTCTTTTTAACCAGTTCATTACTAAAAGCTGTTTTCCATTAAAACTATTCAATCCAGAACAGATGCACCAACATCTCTAAAGAGGAGCTAGGAGAGGAAATATCGCATCTATACACTTACTTGTTACATCTCTTTTGACCTCACGACCGGAGACAATACCGAGTGCCTGACTAGAACGAACTCCAATAGGAGGAGCTTTAAAAGTCTCCTGCACCATCAAGATTTGAAGATTGCACAATTAGAAGCAGCATACAAATCTGATCACTAATACTAAGATCCATTTAAAGAATTATCAACAGCTTTAGAAGAATAAACACATCGCTTCATGAAATCTACTTTTTTAAGAGTTATTCATAGAAATACATTATACAATTTTCAAAAATACACGAGCTAACATAAATCAAAGTATAACATTAGATATTCAAATGATAACCTATCAAATTAGTAATACTTCAGGTTGGTAAGAAAGGCTTACACCGGCAGGTTTGGCAGTTGAAGTATGAGCATGATTAATTTTTGCAGACTTTGCCAGGGAGGAAATTTTGCCTTGTTTAGACAGCTTCGTGCCACTGGATGGAGACCACTCGGTGGTGGGGGTGTAGATTTGGGGAGAGCATCTCATAGAAGTGCGGTCAGCATTCATGGTGGCCTGGAGGAAGCATCTCATATGGGTGTGATCAACATTTATAATGCAATAAAACATCAAAATAGTTTAATTAGTCAGTAATAAATAAAATTTATTTATATTCTAAATTTAATAAAAAACAATATAACATTTATTAGTTAATGAAGCAGTCTACGAATAAATCAACTTTGTTTAACCCTACACCGCCATATGCCACTCTCTGGGAACATAACTTTCAACTTAAATTATACGTTAAATATTAAATACATGTGTAGCAACCTGAGGACATTTGCAAGCAACAGAGAACAGTTCAAAGTTGTGTAGCTGAGCAAGGAGGCGCCATGCACCATCTACGCATGCACTGGAAGAGCAGGTTGACACTGCTCGGACAACCCTGCAGGGGTTTCTGGACAAGGTTTTGGACAACATGGAACCCCACAAAGTGACAGAAGTCACTCAAGCAATAAAGGATGCCCCTAAGTGCTATAAATTGACAGCAATAGCCTTGACTAACAGGCTCAAGGAGAAAGAGCACATGGAATGATCAAAGGATTTGAGGACTGAACGCCTCGCCTTAAAAGAGGAAGTAAACGAATGTCTCTTCTCCGCAAACTGGAGGTAGACATGGATCCCAAAGATACCTACCAGGTATAAACCACTGATACTACAAAAACGTCTTCCAAATCTCAAGTCTCTGCTTCTGAGCCTGACTTGGATTTAGTTCCTGCTTCAGCCCAATCTTCGAGCAACCTGAATCTCAAGGGCTTGCCTACAGAAAGCAGAGCCTCACGAACCCAGTCTTATACAAATAAACTTGCCAAGCTAATCTAAATCAACCTAGCTCAAACCTTAAGGTGGAACCACCTCCACCACTATCACTATTTCACAACATCTCTACAAAACCAACACCGTTCCAACTCTTACCAACACCATTCTTCAACTCTTGCCAACACCATTCAACACATCTGTGCTCCCAGGCCAGCAAGAAATTTCACTTGGAACCCACCACCAACAATAACCTACTTTTTCCCTCCTCATGCATTAGTCAACCCACATGTCTCTCCTACCAATTTCTCAGCTGCCACTCAAAACCTCCCCGATTTTTGCTTCTTTCTTCTTTTTCAAGCAAATGCTGTTCCAGAAGAGAACATAAAACCACACGATTGAAACGATGTTATTTGAAATTACTTCAAATTCAATCAAAATATAACGAGTGCTAAGCATTTCTTAGAAAATAGTTAGCTTCATATTATTTTTGCCTCAGAGTAACAAAGCACAGCCTCCCAGTTAAAACTCTCCTAAGTCAAAGAGTCTATTTAAGTATTTTATTTTCTCATTTTTAGTCCGTTGCTACATACGAAACACGTTGTTGCGAGCCAATTTACTTGACTTGATGTACGTATCGATGATACGAAGCGTATCATCGATATACGCAGTCTAAACACGAATATCCTCTAGAGGATGACGTGCATTTAAAGGTTCCAACCCCTGCTTGTGAGTTCCTTTAGAGTTTATATGCCTGGAAACGTGCAACAAATAATTGATTATTGTATTGTTATCGGGAGCTGAGCTTCCCTAAAAGTTTCAGAGCGCTAGCTAATGGGAAAGTTGGTGAAATATCGATTGCAAGATTTGATCATCACAGACACGAAAGCGAGCTAAGAAAAACGTAGTAAAAACAACCTACTTTTTCCCTCCTCATGCATTAGTCAACTCACATGTCTCTCCTACCAATTTCTCAGCTGCCACTCAAGACCTCCCTGATTTTTGCTTCTTTCTTCCTTATCAAGCAAATGCTGTTCCAGAAGACACCATAAAACCACATGATTGAAACAACGTTATTTGAAATTACTTAAAATTCAACCGAAATATAACGAGTGATGAGCATTTCTTAGAAAATAGTTAGCTTCATATTATTTTTGCCTCAGAGTAACAAAGCACAGCCTCCCAGTCAAACTCTCCTTAGTCAATGAGTCTATCCTCAGTCCTCCTACCTTACCTGGTTACAGCTTTGTTAGTATATGCATAACACAATACACAGTGCCCTTTATAAGTGAATAGAAAAAGACCTTGGCTTTTGGGACACTGCAACTACAGGCCAAGATGTAGAAGAGCCACATGCCAATAATTCACAACCAGGCATAGAATACCTTGTGGACCTTGGCCTTTCAGACATGACCAGAGCTTTTCTACCATTTCTGAAGCCACAAGGTTCTAACCAGATGAATTATCTCTAAACTAATTAACAACAAAAGTGCATGATAAATATATATTGTTCATAATCAAATTTACATTTTTTACAGAAAATGTAAAAAAACAAATTTAATTTTTTAAATTTACAGAAAACTTAAAAGCAAAAAATATAAAATCTACTCCCAGATATAGACTTACAAGCAAACTTGACAACTTTTAAATATAAATACTATGCCATTAAGCCAATTCACTAACATCACATTCACATTCCCAAAACCAACTACCTATTGACCTTAGGATTTAGGAGAATGCTAGTGTGGGCTTGAAATTCTCCTAAATCCTAATTAATAAAATTCTTGTGGCTACAATGCTCAAAGTGCCAAATTTTCAATATATGTGCAACTTGCAGCACAAGTGTCCACTATTGTCAACAATTAGATAGAGAGGCAATTCATCTAACAGGAATCTACTACGCCTGAAAACCGCAGGAAAGCTCTGCATGCAGCTCAAGAGGTAAATATATTTTATATCTGCCATAGTAGCAAATGTTAACGGTTTGATACTTTTTTGATTTCCTAGTCATAGTAGTCTACAACTTTACTTGAAGAGTTCATTGAATTCATCTTTACATATTAAATACTGGTAGAGGTAGTATCCATGATACTGGTGTACCTAAATCCTGCCTGGCCTGGGCTATGCATCAAGATTGTAAGATGCCCCAAACCTTAGATAACCATACTGCTATATGATTAAAAAGTAAGGTCAATAAGTTTCTCATTTGCAGCTTGCTGCACTATGCACATCATTAGCCAGGAGCCAGGACTCTACAACCCACATCAGTCAACCATCCAGAGTCTGGACTGTCAGGCAGTCATCAGGCGCAGGCTGGATGTATCATGCAAGGCCCAGGCTTAGTACTTAGTGCCTTTATTCCACTAGCTACAATAGAAACCTCCCTGCCCTACAATTCAACCATGACAAATGCATCAGGATATTCAAGTTTTACTCATTTATGCAGAATAGGCACTTGGAATAGGTTAGAGGAGTCTATGACATTGATGCTGCAGGCTCAGGCTGCATCATGGCTGCTGGTGCACGAATGACCTAAAGACTTGAGCTGCACGGCAGCGCGAGTTACCATTTACTTACCAATCAACAAAGCAACACTATTTCAACTGATGCCCAACTTGGGACACTTAATTATTTTTAAGATTGAGCCAATCCTTTGATGCTAGTTATAATTCAAAGGATTTGGTTCTCTGTTCGTTAAGTTGACATTTTGCTAAATTCCTAAATTCTTCACAAACTGACTAAGCATTCAGTGAATCAATAACTTTTTCTTTAGTTCGCGATTTGCAGTAGCCTCTGAAGACTAGTCCAATGCAGCCTAACGGCTGAGTTGTAGTCGATACAATTTCTCTCAATTGGTTCTTTATTAGGGGTCCAAAGACAGGTCCTTGTCTCACCTCAGGTGAATGGCCCAATGTAGTCTCCACGCACAAGGAGTTTGTACAAGTTACTGAAGGTCCAGCCTGAGCAGCACAACTGATATCTTCTTATTTATTCTTGCATGTGGTTTTGTTGGTGCCCAACAGTTGCACAACAATTGTTAGGCTTAATACAAAACAGCAAACAAATAGAACTTCAATTTCTGAGATGACTGGTCCAGAGCTTGAGAAAGAAGATGTATTCACAAAACATCAAGGCCTGAACCAAGTCCCAAAAATCAATGCTTGGCAGCTGTTCCGATACAGGTTATTGCTGTTATGCTGACGAATAAACCCAGCCCAAGATAACTGTAGAAGCAAAAAAAAATATGTCAAATTTTACAATTCTGCATTATAGTAGTAGTATTCCAATGTCTCAAATAAGTGTCAATCAAATACATTCACATCAGCAAAGCATTACACCTTTTACACACCCTGACAGACGGAAGGCTCTGTGTATCTCAAAGTGTGTCGCTGAAAGTCACCAAAAGATAGAATGAAGGTTGTTCCCCACCGGATACGCAGTTATTCTATTGAATTAAAGGAATAAATAGCTGTTAGGTACTTGGTAATCAAAATTAAAGCTGCAAGAGCATAAATTCAAGATGCAATAGGTCACTATAACAGCCTTGGCCCCACCTTAAAACACTGGAGTCGGCCCTATCCCAATAAAAAAAAGCACGAACATACATAATAAACGAAAATAAATAAAACAAAAAACAAAGAGTGATCACTCAATTTTAAATACAGAAATTATGAAGGAATGGCTTAATACACTCCTACGGAGCAAAATTAAACAGATGTTTCCATCAACAAGTCTTTCAGCCAACCCTTACTATTTACAAATTCCATTGACTTACAACAAATATTGAGTAATGCACACAAGATTGTACATGACAGTGTCAATACAGTTCAGAACACCTTTCAATACCACTACCTGGTAGCTTTTCATCAACTTTTTCTTTAATGTTCAGTTTAAGAGAGTAAGTTTGTTTTCAAAGATTGCCTCATAGTCTTGAACTTGGCAATAATTTTCAAATTCTCCTTTCTCTCCATTGCTTCTGCATATTCATCTGCTGCTTGCTCAAGCACCTTGATGATCTCCTCTGTACACCTTTTCTTCTTCAGTTCATCTAGCTCATCCAAAAAAGCCTTTCTCTTCTGGGTTTTGTGGACCTTGGCCTTCTGCTCTTTCTCTTCTGCCAAATAATTATTGTAGGCTGTTTAGGCACTGCCAGCTGAGAGCAGCATCTTCTTGGTGATGGTCATCTTGTCCAGGCCACCAATATGTGCAACATGATCACCACAGCATGCAGGGCAACCACCATTTGCTCTTTCATGTTGTGTGTCATGATTTCCTTGAACAAAAACCCTCTTTCAATTGTGGCTTGGTCATGAGACAGGGGCATGAGCGTCCACACAACATTCCAGAGCTTTTTGTAGGTTCTCTTTGACAGAATGGCATGCCAACTGGTGTCCAGTCTCCAGTCAATCAAAAGTTGAAAATGCTTGAAACTGTGCATTTAGTTCACTGCAATGTTATGATTCATCTGCAAAGTTGCACATCTCATCACACAACACCATCCACATCTGTGTTAGGTAATCTCTTGGCATCAACAAGCAAAGCGAGACAGTTCTTCAACTGTGTCTTGAGGGCTTCTTTACAGTCCTTGATGAAGACATTTGGCACCAGCCATCTCAGGTTCCTACCAAGGCCATACCTGATACTGATAGGGCTCTTGTCCATTAGCTTTTGGACTACAGCCTGCATGAAGTGCAACGCTTGTGTCTTCAAAGTAAGAACTTGCACAGCACTTGCCTTCTTGTCTGCAAGCTGTTTTTTATCACAGTCCTAACTATGCAACCAACATCAACCTTATTAAGGGAAATCTAAACACTTTTTTGTTCCATGACTTTCCATGACCTAAAATGAAATCCAATGACTTTCCAGGCCTGGAAAATGAAAAATCAAATTCCACAACTTTACAGTTTTCCATGACCAGTACGCACCCTGGTTTTAGTAAGGACTAAGGAGATCTATGGATAAGAAGATTATGAGATAGGGAATCATTCATAAAATATACAAAACATCTATGACTAGCAACACTAGGCTACATCAATTATAAAATTCTGGGTTGAGCAGGGAAAATGGCCAACTCCAAGTAGCTATATTTTTAAGAGCCACAGGAATATCAAATTCATCAAGACTGGTTAGCATGTTTGTTTAATAGGCTAACTTGGTTAATGGTTAGCATGTTTGTTAAATTAACTCAAGCATACTGGTTAACTGGTACTGGGTCAGATCAGAGGCCATCACTACTCAATGGCAAAGGCTTATCAACATTCAACAGAGACAGGTGCACTAAAGGAGAGCTCCAGCATCCAGCCTTCATCCAATCATCTGAAGAGCAAAGACCCAATGCTCTCCCTCTGCCATGGTGCCACCTATAGGCTAGCTATGCTTGCAATTTGCCACAAAGAGAATGATAATGCATTATATTGAGAAGCAAATATGCAAGCTCAAACAAAACTCAAGTGAAATGTGTCAACAAAAGAACAGGTAACTTATTGCTTTCTTGATTTAAATTGTTGAAGATATTTCAACATAAGCCATTATGCTGATATTGTCTTAAACTTCTGCATAGGGTAAACGCAGTATATTCCATCACATAACACATTAAGGACGCATCGAGAAATGAAAAACTATAAAAAATAACCATATGTGTTACACAAGTTCTGTTTGCTTTATGCTATGCTTTACTCAAGTTCTGTTTGCTTTATGCAACTCTCAAAACACCGCACTACGTGTCAGCAACAACAAAACGTCACAAAATGTTGCCATATTTATTTAAAAGCCTTTAGAATGGAAACCTACCAAATCCCTATATTCCGTCACTGTGTGTGGCAATATTTGGCGCGTGGTGAGGCGTATTCCGTCAGCGCTTCAAATTCTAATAATATGTAATGCCGTCATCCACGTGTTTGAATTCCGCTTGCTGTATTGGAATACAACACGGCTTTGAGTTTGAATTAGAACACTAATGAATATTAAACACAACTTAATTACGCTTTTAATTAACAACTATTAAGCTTTTAATTAAGCAAATTTTAATTTTTGTACACAGCTTGGAACGATCTATGTGTGTCCAATTCAAGTTGTGACGGAATTAGTTTTCATGTGACTAAAACCATTTCTCAACTTAATCATCTATTAATTTATTTACCACTTGAAATCAGAAAATACAAGTATACTTAAAGGATTCCTAATATATTCACAGAAGTATTTAATAGTCTCAAACCATAATATTCTTCCTATACAAACAGTTATTCACTATTTGGTAGAGCAAGGTCAAGTGTCAACTGTCAAATTTGACACATTTTTCGATGATCTCACTGGGTAGCATGCATAGTCTCTCTTTGGATCTCAATATTTTCCCGCTAGATGGCCAAGACCTAGTGTTTTGGCAGTAGTTTGACACACAAATGTATGACGTCACCATTTCAACCATCAATGAACGCATGGAACTAAAACAAAGCTTAATATAAAGGAAAAACTAAAGAGGTGACAGAATTACCCACATTCCCACGATGTCGGAATATAGGGCCTATATTATAGGCTACCGCGTTTACCCTAGCTAGCAAAAATGATCATAGTGGCAAAGCAGAGAGTTTTTTAGAATCTCCCTCAAGTTCATTTTTGAGTCCTATATGTAGACCAGTAAAGTATCCTGGATACCAGCAAGTCCAGCATTATCATACTTGAGAAATTGGTTTAAATCTTGAGTAAATGAGAAAATTAAAAATGAACTGATTCTAAAAAAGCTCTGGTTTGCCACTAATCAAATTTGACACATTTTTCGATGATCTCACTGGGTAGCATGCATCGTCTCTCTTTGGATCTCAATATTTTCCCGCTAGATGGCCAAGACCTAGTGTTTTGGCAGTAGTTTGACACACAAATGTATGACGTCACCATTTCAACCATCAATGAACGCATGGAACTAAAACAAAGCTTAATATAAAGGAAAAACTAAAGAGGTGACGGAATTACCCACATTCCCACAATGTTGGAATATAGGCTACCGCGTTTACCCAGATTACCCTAGCTAGCAAAAATGATCAACTGAATTTTATAGGCTAAGGCGGTAGTAAGGCCTTCCTTGACAAGTTGACTGAGCCACTTATTGGCCAGGCATGAGGCATAGCCTAGTGGCAAACCAGAAATTTTTTAGAATAAGTTCATTTTCAATTTCCTCAAGATTTGAATCAATTTCTTATGTATGATAATCAGATAATGCTGGTATGTGGTATCCATGATACTTTACTGGTCTACTTAGAGTACTCGAAAACAAACTTGAGGGAGAGTCTAATCTAAAAAAACTCTCGGCTTTGCCACTATGCAGTGAGCTACTTAACTAAGCTAACTTTGCGTCCTATCGATTTATGTCAAAGAATTCCTAATTTTAAATGCAGAAAAAATTAAAAACAATTTTCAAGTAGTCAGACTCAGATCCTTAAGTTATAGGTAGGTAACCAGTCTGGCGTCGTAGGCTAGGCTAGCAGCTAGCTCAATCAGACAATCACTATTCACTACTGAATCAGCCCCAACTCCCGTCTCCCACTAACCTTTCAAAGAAGTTCGAAGAAATGAAGTTAGAGGACTCAGCACGAATCCTACCGGTTGTTTTACAAATATCGTCTCTAACAAAGCACAACTATTTTTTGACGTAAGAGGTTCTCTGATAGCATTTACTAGCAAGCGATAAAACATGCTTTAACTTAGACATTCGCCGTTCAAGGTTCACGTGGTGAGTGGGGCGTGTGACCGGTTGCGCAGAAGGAGGAAAGCATGCGCTATAAGCTGCGCATCGAAAATACTGACTTGAAAGGTATCGAATCCTAAAGTTATTATTTGCAGTAATATGAAAAAAGTAGGGCATCCATTTCTAAAAGTGAATTATAAGTTGTTAACTTAAACATGATGAAAATGCTAATGAAAGTTTTTTTTAATAATGCTTGGGGTCATTTAACATAATTGAGTGGTGGTGTCAAACTGTCATGCTTGGTAGATGTATATTGTAAAGTTAATCTATCTGTAGTTAAAGTTAAAATGTAAAGTTAAAATCTGTAATAATTCCTGCGGCAGCGTATTGATAATTAATACTCACATTCCAAAATTCATACAGATCCGTTGAGTATTTGAGGAATTATGAGTGGCCCAGTTGCTTAAAAAATGCGTTTATTGGTTTTAATTTAAAAATAATTCATGTAAAAATCTGTAATAATTCCTGCGGCAGTGTATCTATAATTAATACTCACATTCCAAAATTCATACAGATCCGTTGAGTATTTAAGGAATTATGAGTGGCCCAGTTGCTTAAAAATACGTTTATTGGTTTTAATTAAAAAATAATCCATGTAAAAATCTGTAATAATTCCTGCGTCAGCGTATCGATAATTAATACTCAATTTCCAAAATTCATACAGATCCGTTGAGTATTTACCGAATCGACACTTCAACAAACTCGCCTGCGAGCTCGAATGCAAAACCTAACTTAATTTTCAACTCTGGCACTCATAACTCCGTCAATTATGAACGGATTTTATTCGAATTTGAAATATAAGTAGATAATATCAGTAATTTGCGGAGGGAATTTTTTCAGATTTTGCAATCGAGCTCGCAGGCGAGTTCGCTGAAGTGTCGATTCGGTTGAGTATTTAAGGAAGTATGAGTGGCCCAGTTGCGCGAGTCCGCAGGCGAGTCCGCTGGCGAGTCCGTAGAATTGTCGATTGAGTATCGAATGGCTCCAAGCCTCAAAGTAATTTATTTGCAATATCTAGTTTCCATATGTAATTTTTCACGGCCTATTTTGATATGTCTTCAAATGGTATTATGCGCCTCGTACTCTTGACGAACAAAATCGTGACATTTACTATGACTAATCTGGCATTTTTGGATAATCATACTCCCAATAGGTCACGGACCATAAGAAGGCTAACACAATATGGCGCCGTGTGACTTTTAAGATGATGTCGAATCACCCGAGATGGACCACAGTAAGAAGTTAGTGTTTTATGGTTTATTCCGCATTATAAGTATCTGACAGATGAAGCACGACGTACCAAAAGCTTCACAAATGCGCACTTACGTCAGCATGTCTCAGGAGGAGTCAGATCAAGACAACGGCAGCTCTACGCCTTGGAACTATCACCAATGGAACAATGAACAGCTTATTGCTTACTGTATGCAGGTGCATACTCTCACAAGGCCTGTTTACATCAGAAGCTCGATCAAGAGTCGTGCACACCGTTCCGACGGCAACTGCTCAAGAAGGGTCATTAAAGATATATCTAGAGAGAGGCTTAGCTGTTCAACACTTTCAACTACCTCAATGCCATGTACATCGACACAAGGCAGGGTGGTCCAAAGGTACAGCTATGAGTTCCAAGAAAGGACCAGTGAGTTGAGGTTCGATCCCAGCTACATGCGCTAGTTCCGGTCGAAATCTTCGGGCGATTCGGCGCTGCAAAATTGAAGCAGTGAGTTGCATGTTCGAGACCCGCAACTACTTTTGAATGTTCTGTGATGTTTAGAATCAACAACAGGTCTAATGGCCCAAGCAAAGCTGACGCCGCTATTCCTATTACAGACTTGTACCAATTGTGGGCTATTACCGCACCGGGTGTAGACTGTGGAGCCCGTGGGCGCGAACGGACTTCATGAACAAGGCAGAGCATGATAAGTTCATGAGTATTAGCTTCAACTTTGACTTGCAGTTATCGCAGTGACCTTATGATGAGTTTAGGACATCTCAGTCCACGGTCACGCTGATGCGCCACCTTTGTCGTCCTCAAAGTCGTCGATAGGCAGGTCGCCCCGTCCTCGGGTCGCGGATGTAACGTTGGACGTGTTCTGTCCAGCTGCCCTCCTGTGGGCCAGCTGATGCAAGATATACTGTTGCTTGTCACTTGTAGGGTAGTTTCCCATAACCAGACGATCATGGATCTTGCTCAAAAACTTGTCCAGTCGTCTCTTGATGTCAAAGGGGCTGATGCCAAGTCAAAGCATGTGATGAACCACTGCAGAATAACATAGAGCTCGTCAAACAGCCCGCTATGCATTGGAAAGAGGCGCCCAGAGGCATCCGTCCAGGCTTTATCTGGAATGCAAAATTCAGCAGGCAGTAAATAAATTGTTTCAGTGCCGTCAGCCATCATAGATTATTTTAGGACATGCGAGTATTGTACTTTGTTTCCATGAGTGTGGGGTCTCTGGCTTACTATTGCAGTCACTCTGGCATACACTCTGGCTTAGTCACAAAAAGTTCAAGAATCGGCAACAGGCCATGGGCCAATTTCTTCAATGCCGACACTTCTATTCTAATATATGTATGGAAGGTTTTATTAGTCATTAACACTGTAGAAGTATTTATTATTAGTTCCTAAATAGAACGTCCTATTAGCTCGCATGCAGCAAAAGGAGATCAGGCTATGCAGGCTCTATTCAAGTAGCATTCATGAGGCCAGCAATTATTAAGAAGAGGTCTGATTGACATAGATAGAGATTTCACCGTGCATCATGGTATTATTTTGGTTGTTGATCTTCGTGATGGCGATGCGGTTATTATTGCTCATACGAAGTGCGGTGGTATAAATTCCATTGACTTGGACACTTGCGTATAGGGCTTGGGCGCTGAACCACATGACTACGGCGCGTATACCTTCTCCACGACCTTCTCCATCACATCAATATTTAGTGTAACCTGAAAAATTATAACTCAGTACTCACTGCAATGAGTGACAGAGAGCGCATTTTCTCGTCGACGAAAACTTGAGGTCACGGACGGACAGACGGACGGACAGACGGACAGACAGACGGACATGGCGAGCACAATAGTGCATTTTTTCCATAAATGAGAAAATGCGCTAAAAAGACCGGTCGATGATTATTCCGAGTCCTGGGTTGATATGGAACACAGTTGTGTGATAATAGAAGCTGTTCTGTAATCTCTGCAGAATGTGCGTAGTTGAAACTGCAGTTAGAAGAGGTCAATAAAACATTAGACGTGTGTACAGATATCACTAGATTATTTTGCATTTCTGTTTTCCTTTTGGGGGTGGCGGTGCGTTGTTTGAGGTCTTGGTGACAAAGCTGCACCTTATTCGACTGGCTCAAATCACCGATGGTCACAAGAATTAAAATTCCACACTTCGTTGGTGCAGGCAGTGGCTTTTTGTGTTGATTCAAAATCAACGCATTAAAAGCCCCACACGAGTTCAAAATTAGATGCATCCAAACTTGAGGGAAGATTCTCAGAAGCAGGACATACACCATTGAAGGGTACACAGCAGGGATTGCTTTTTCACGTAAAATTTTGCTGTCTTTCGATTGTCTACTGTTGCTTGCCTACTGTTGTTTTTGTGATTGTCCGCGGTGTTGGCCGCGATGGTTGTAAAAATTTAGCAGCAGACGGTCAACATAAAATGTTTTTTTTTCTACAGCACAAATCATTTAATAAGATTTAATACTTGATACACTACGCTGGGACAAAGAGAGTAAGAATACTTAGGCGAGAGAATCGGCCTTAACGGTTGCAGGGAATCATTATTGCGTGGAGGTGGGAAGCTGTAGATACTAAAGAAGGAGCAAGATGCTGTGTATATCAAAGAAGAAGGAGCTTACTTAGTTGGTCTGCAGAGGCAGGAGAGCAATGCTATTAACCAGGTGTAGGAGAGGCTGGCAGGGTGGAATTAACTGCACCCGGGGCTAATAATTCCATGGTGAAATGAAGAGCCTGTCAGCATATTTGTGATGTTTGGCAAGACTAGCACATGGCAAGTGTTGGCCTGCCAATACTGTCTACCAATAAAGTTACGCTAACTGGGCGTTAAACGGGAGATGAAGTCCTCAATTAAACTGCCAAGCCTGCTTACCTTTGCTGTATATTTGCTAGGCTGCATCACAAGGATAGCCCAAAGGCTTACTGCTTGAGGGGTATCAACATTTGACCACATGAATTAGTTTCCGTGAGAGTTGCATCAGCAGTATGGTAAATTTCTGACTTATTTATAAAGAAGGAAGGTGGAGATTCATGTAAGCACGTTTTGTAGCCATGCCGTTGTCAGGTCGGCTACAATCCATTATGTCCTTATTTCAAGTTTAGGACGTTTCCGTCCATGGTCAGGCTTATGCGCCATCGTTCTCCGTCCCCAAGCCGTCGATAGGTAGATCTCCCCGCCACTGGGGCCCGGAGGTAACGTTGAACTTGACTACCTTGCAACCGCCTGCATTTGGGCCAGCTAATGCAAATGGTGTTGTTTAATTGTTAGGACTTGCTGATGGTAGTGGGGCATTGACGGATGATCTAAGACAGTTCTTGAAAACATAATCAGTCGTCTCTTAGTTGTTTAGACTGACCTCTCATCTCAGTTCCTACATCTGGTCGTTGAACAGCCTTTGACCCGCCAATGAATGAGAACCATACGAAGAATCTAAACTCTAGCCGCAGCTCGGATGTGCTGTGGGGGTATCCTACACAGTCTCCCCTTCTTTCGATATAATACGTCACTACCCTGAAAGTCTAACTTTTAAAGTTTGAAGCCAGACTCAGTCTGGTTATCATCTTCCACGTGTGCAGTATAATTTACCTATCCATTCTCCTCTCCAGTGAGTACCTACAGTCCCAGATACTCCAACCTGCACCAGTTGCGCAGGTCCCTCATTCCGCTGATCCAGCACGGTGCACCCGAAGATGCGCTGGATTGAATCCAATGACATGATCAGTTGCATGGTCAATTAGACACACTGTACTTGACGATCACTGGAGCCTAAATGATTGATTAGAACTGTTATAAAAATGTTCGAGTGAGAGAACTAGATTGAGGCACAAAACATTTACTATTATAGATCAGTCCATACTCAAGTAGGTAATTATAGGGATAAATATCCAAGAATGTAATTACTGATTACTTAATCGAGAAGGTAATTTGTGGTAGCCTTCTGGAAATGGTAATTAGTAGTAACTTACTCGAGAAGGTAATTAGTCGCAACCTACTGGAGTAGATATGCCAACTCACTGTAGCAGTTACCAGCGCTCTGCCTGTACTGAGTAATCAGAGAACTTCTAACTAATAACGAAATTAGTTAGAGGAAGAAGCCACGAATTGGCTACTTGTAACACTTTGACGTTAATTAGTCTTCGGATTCATCGGAGAAAGAGCATAATACTTCAGAGATAAAAAAGTGGTAGTCAATGAAAAGGGAAGAATGGGTCGTCGGAAAGCAAGTTTGATTGATGCCACAGAAGCCATCACTGGACTGCAGCTAGATCACCTGCTATATATGTAGAAGATGAGACAGCATATGGAGAAGGCACACTGCACATTCACAATATAGTCAAGAGTCGGATAATATTAAATGGTCCGCATCATTCTCAGGACTGTATAACGACAGCCTTTGCATTCACTATTACAACTCTGTTCTTTCCAATGCAGCTGATGTCTTCACAAATTATTGATCCACATGAGATGTGACATGAAAATTTGGCAAAGCTTTAGAATAGGCACAATTGAATTGTGTGAGTGCAGCCATCGAGCTATGAATTAATTCTCAGGACTGTATAACGACAGCCTTTGCATTCACTATTACAACTCTGTTCTTTCCAATGCAGCTGATGTCTTCACAAATTATTGATCCACATAAGATGTGACATGAAAATTTGACTAAGCTTTAGAATAGGAACCGTTGAATTGTGTGATTGCAGTCATCGAGCTATGAATTTTTAACGAAGCGGTTAAAATTGTTCGAATAAGTTATCAGCTCATGGTTGTCTTCACTTATTATCGAATAAGTGACCTTGTCACTGGAAGAGTATTTGCGTTTGGAACGATGAAAAATCCTTCATTATTTTTGTCTCTCTTCGGCTCTCTCGCAGAGCGACTTCTTCTTAATCGTGCAATGAAAGTTCCTGACCCCGCCAATGGTATGTCAATTTTCTCCCATGTAACACTGGGTGTGGCAGTGTGATGTGTCCACATTTTCAAAGTGTAAAATTTCTTGAATTAAATAAAAAATCGATGAGTTCTGAGGAAGACGCTTGCACTTTTTAAACTACAATCATTCAAGTATCTTCTAATAAGTTTGTTGCTGACGTTCAACCCTAGTGAGTCAGAGGATCAGGGCATCGATCGTCCGCTGCCAAGGTCACCACAAACTCACGATCTTATCAAAACGACAGAGAAATACGCACAATGAGAAATTATTTTTTATTGACTGCTATTTAGAGGAAACTTGTTTGATTTTGTTCGCGAAGTTTCTGCCAAAATTTCAGATAGTTAGAAGGGAGATGGGTATTTAAAAGGGAGATTTACTCTTACAGAAATATTTCCAAACAATCGTCCCCGTCCAAATTGAGTTCATTATTATTTCAGGGGCCATAAACCACCCTGTCCATTATGGGGCCATTTCTTCGATCAGATTTTCAGTAACTTATACGATGCTAAGCCAGGCAAAAAAAAACACAAAGAAATATTCAATTATTTTTTAATATACCTGTATATGTGGGTTTATAATCCGTTAAACAGTAACGGTTCATTAGCTAAGCACATGTGAACATCCACGGAGCAGTCCGGGGCACGGACGGGGTACGAATGAGATATAAGCGGGGCACGGACGGGGTGGGACGCCTGGGACGGGGCACATTTGAGACATGAACGGAGGTACATTCGGTGCCCGGACGCAGTAAGGACGGGGCAAGCTCGAGTCACGAACGGGGCAGGCTCGAGTCACGAACGGGGCACGAACGGGGCAAGCTCGAGACACGAACGGGGTACATATGGAGCATGGGCGGAGTAGGGACGTGGCACGCCCGAGACACGAACGAGACACGAACTCCACAAAAATTCACAGTATCATTAAAGAAAACGTTTATAGAAACATTCCCAATAAAGACAGTATGAATTTTTGCGGAGTTTTCTTTGCTTCTAAGTTTTTAGTGAATATGCGATTCAAGTAAACAAGTGACATTATTACGAACGAGGCACATACGGAGCACAGACGGTTAGGATAGAAGCAAGTACGAGACACGAACGACGCATGACACACGAACGAGAAAGCCGTATGCCTCAGGGAGCATAGTGCAAGCAATGCGTGTGCAGGCAGGTAAATAATTTTTACTTTAAAAACGAAAATAATGGTAGTAATGATAAAAAAAAAAGATTATCGAAACACTGAAACTTGTATACGTATATTTAGATACGAAAAATAGAACATGATATGTTGGATGCATGCAGCTAATATACTGCAAGTGTTTTCAAAGACCGAGATGTGTCCTGCAGAAGAAGAAACACTAAACGTTTGAAAAACTTTTGACGACAGAGGTTCATGAACAGTGGTGAACAGCGGTTCTGTGAATTTAATACTGAAGTTGGAACTGTAATACACACTTAATCAGTCTGCATAATCTATCCAAATACTAAAAGGTCTACGAGGGCCCGGGAGGATTACTTACATTCCATTAATTTTAAAACAATGATGATAATGCATGCAGCTGAATTTGTTTATATTGGTACGTATTGGGCATTTCACACCGTTCTGCGCAATACATGTTACTAGATGACGTAATTCAAGCACAAATTTACTCTCGTCAGCTGCAGGTAAAAATTTCAAGTGCTTTACATATAACTTTCGTGTTCTCTTCACAATCTTACGCAGACGTAAGCTTTTTTAAAATTGTTTTCTTCGACTTCTGAACTAAGAAGGAACAATTTTACTGAATCTGAGCTGAACTAAGTGAGTGTGATTTCTAGAAATTTTCGCTAAAGATTCAAATATACTTACCGATGAAAAACCTAAAGGATAGATAAACATTTTTTTTTAATAAGAAGACTACTGGTATGTCATTTATCGAGTAATGGATAAATGTGCACAATTATACAAGGTGACCGCATTGGGACTGCATTGCGACTTTGAACGGACCGCAAAAGTGTCAGTTTGCCGGGCGCTGGCTTAGTTTAACTTGCTCTTATTTTAGCCCAACATTACTTATAGAATTCAATAGTAGAACTTGGAAGCAAACCAAAACTTTATGTACAGCGAAACTCAAATATATTGTAGATTATACAGATTATTGTATATGTAATATTGTAAAAGTGCAAGGTGTTGTGATGATAATCGGTTGAAAATGTTTTCCCTTGCAGTGAATATTAGTTCAATTGCCAATCACAGTAACCTACTAGTCCGTAAAAAAAGTTCATTTTCACTGTAATTACTGCTTTTTGAATCATATTAAGAGAATGTTAGTAAAAATACTTCATGAAAGTACAGTTTGACTTTATTTTCTAAAGTTATGTCTATTTTTATGGACGTATCCATAGTTTATTTGCACTTTAACGCAGGGCTAAAACGCAGTCACTACTCACTAAGTATTGAAATCGGAAAGATGACTCTTCAGTAATTGAATAAAAGGGTATAGAGATAACATAGCCTACCTGTAACTTGTAAGAGTGTCAATGATGCAAAACATTTAAAATATGCATTTACCGTGTATTTTGTAGATTTCGTCTGCAGGAAGAGAATGTTAGCCATCTGCGTGATTTTTGTTTAGGTGCAAAACATTTTCGGTACGTACAACTACAAGTGTAAACTTTTGAAAGTAGAATTTTCGGTTAACGTCTTCCAGTTCCAGTAAACCATTACCATAGGATGAATCCGACAAAAAAGTTCCAATTTCTCATCCATAGCTACCAAGGTGAGTGACGATTAGAAATAAGCATGAAAAATAATCATTGCACATGACATGATGACTTGCATGCACACGCTACACATCATTGATGCTAGCCTGCTATCGTTGTTTACATACATTTTCGTTCGACTTTGCTAGGAGTATTGTAATCAGGCCTGCGTTTAATTGTATTTCTTTAAACGTGGTCCGCATTTCGTTTGACTTTGCTAGGAGTATTGTAATCAGGCGTTTCATTGTATTTCTTTAAACCTGGTCCGCATCTCAACCGTTGGCAACGCTTTCTCGCAGTGATTAACGAATCACAAAAACAAACAAACGAACCCAAAACTATCATTCGCTCTGAGGCGAAATGTTTAGGTAGTCGTATTTATTGGAACCTTGACGGCGAAAGATACCAATTGCTTGTCAAAAAATATAAAATGTCAAAAAGAGTTGAGCTTAGTTGATGTATGATTATAATTGTATCTAACAATATAGTTGAGTATTGTGTAATAAAAAATTTAAGTATTTTGTTCAATGTGCTCAGTTATAAGCGAATTGGAAGCTTAGTTTCCTAAGTCCTAACACCGTAACACGTCAGTGTGGCGTTGCCTTTGTTTTGGTGCTGTGGCATGTGGTAGAGCGCGGTAGCCGCAGCCTCTACTGGCTGCTTACGGTTAGGTCAATGAAGACGGATCCATGTTTACTTGAGTCTGTGACTCTGTGTTGAGGATAAATAGATGGCTGTGCAGTGTGCATTGCTGGCCTTGCCACTCACTACACTGCCTGCATGTGGGGCGTGGCGTCACACGCGCAAAAATGGGAGGCAGTGTGGCATATAGCCACTCGTGTAAAACTTGGAGGCAGGGTAGCATGCGCCATGCAGCAACCTCTGAGCTGCTAGCAATACACACGTGTTGCGCCGCGCTTCATATGCAGGCAGAGACTCCGCTCTTGAATGATATACTTATAGTGATATGCGTGGAAGACATTTGACTTGCGCACTACTGACACTGAGTGTCACTGACTAATGCTCAGTCAGTGCAGTCCTAGTAATAGCAGTGTGAAGGTTGCGCGTAAAGAACGCTCAGTGCAGTCTTCGTCACGTCCGTGTGAGTACTAAGGCGGATTCATGTGGGCTTTATTACTGTAAAATTGGAAAGAAATTCAGGGAAACCAGAGCCTCATAAGGGTTTTGATTGCTTCTTCCAGTAACAGGCATATGAAACGCTCAGAAAATCTTTCGTTTCTTATTATATAGAGTACTATTGTGAATTTAATAATATTATCTCGTATGACTATGACTATGAGTGCGTAGGCTAGCTGGCAAAGTAGGTAGCCTACTATTGTGAATTTAATAATATTATATCGTATGAACTATGAGCGCGTACTAGCTGGCAAAGTACTATTGTGAATTTAATAATATTATTTCGTTTGAGTGCGTAGCTGGCAAAGTATTAATGTGAATTTAATAATATTATCTCGTGCCAGTCGTGTGAGTGCGTAGCTGGCAAAGTACTAATGTAAATTCAATAATATTATCTCGTGTGAGTGCGTAGCTGGCAAAGTATTAAAAGTACTATTGTGAACTTATTAATATTATTTCGTACGAGTGTGTAGCTGGCAATTTGTACTTTGTAAGGATTATATAGGCCAGCAATTGCGACTATTGCGTTACACGTATTTATTCAGCTTACCCGTGCGTTTGCAGCTTCTCGTATTGCCTTGCAGGTAGCCGGCCACACTCCCACAGTTTACCATCGGCAGACATGACTTGCTAATGCGATTTTCGATAGACATGTTTTGACGTCTGGGCTCATCCGATTAAAACTATTGACGGTAGATGGATGGCAAGATTAGGTTCGAGTATCTCAGACATGATTATTTCTGAAGGCCAATCAGGTCGGAACGGACGGGCAGTTTTGAATTTTTGATACGCTGCATGACGAAACGGGAGCGCAGCCGTGGACCAAAAATTTAACTCATAAACAGGCCCTGGCGGCTGACGCCAACGCATCTCGACGAAACTGTTCTTCGTATGCCCAATTGAACATGTACTGCGAACGAGCGCGCCAGCTTGTGCGGTTGTACCTGGCATCTACTATCCGAGAGCTCCACTTAGTCTAAAACTTATTTCATTTATAGTTACAGAATTTTTTGTAATTGAGAAAAATTGTCGTTCGCTCATGACACGGCGCTGGCATCACGACTCATCTATATCATTAGCACGACTCATCTATATCATTAGGGAGACTTATCTATATCATTAGGGAGACTTATCATGCATTGTTAGCGATTTCAAAGTATTTATCACGTCTAATCAGAAGCATGCCTACGCACTCCTAATTTGTTATCTTTCTCCCCCACAAATGTGGTTTGTTGTCGCTCTTAAAAGCTGGTGCCATATTTCTGTCTCGTCCTAACTGGTTTGAACAAGCCAAGGCTCGAAACGAGAAATTATCAATCAGTTTGGCTCATTACATGACATGTTATATCTATTTACCTTCTCAACAATTTTGGCTGCTAATGCTACTCTTCAAGCAAACACTCTTAGACAAACATATTATAAATATTTACCATGATTAATTAATATGTGGCCTGTATTGTAAATAAGCAATATGAAAATGTATATTTATGATTAACCCCTAATTGTTTTGTACTCGTCCGTGATCTGTGCCTCCTTTGGACGTCTCCTCCCTTGTTGCTGCTCCTGATGCTGCAGAAGCCTTGGCTTGGTGAGCGTACCCCCCTTGTTTTTATGTCTCAACTATAGCCAGTATTACGATAATAACAATCCGTTATGGGAATTGTTTACCTGCATTACCATTAAAAAATAAGCATAGTATGCGATTCATTGTGTATCATAAATGGCTGAAGTGTTCACAGCTTAGCTTTGCTATTCATCGCTCGTGTTCTCTGTGGACCTTACATGGGCTCATCATTGATCACTGCCTCGTCATGAGTTGCTAAATACATTCTTTTTAGAACTTCAGTGAATTATTTATTTAAGATCACGTATTTTTGTTCAATCAATGAAGCAAAGTTTATGCCTACAGATGAAAATATTTCACTTGCCCGATGATTACATAACCTGCTTGCTTTCCAGTTTAGAAGTCGTCGAAAGGAACCTGCAGCACCCCCGCGATCACTGGCAAGTGTCTGAAAGCAATAAATTTGCTCCACCAGAACCTCCAGGTTCATGCAATTGGAGCTGCACGTCTGACTCCATGTACCCAAGTGGCCATCCTACTCGAAGTCACTCAAACGAAGTCCACACAATTCACGGTGGTCTTTGCAACCAGACGAGCGATGAGTCGGACCGTGTCGGTGGTTCTAATTTGAGCTCCTCGAAGCGAAAGGCTTATGTTTGTGTTGCCGAAAAAACTCCAAAAAATCTTAGTTACGCCGAAAACATTCATCACGGAAGCCAAATTCCTGTTAATTTTTGTGACGAAGTGGCAGGCAGTAGCTCGACGAGAAAGGCCATTATTTCTATCATGATAACCAGCGCCCCTGATCAACCGTCTCTGGAGCCGATCCCTGGCAGCGAGGAGGCGTGCAGTCTACCGCAGACCAGAGACGAAGCTCACCTAAATAGCGGCTCAAGAATGCGTCCAATGGATACGACAACCTTGTTCTCTGTAAGTTGAATTCTAATTTTGGTGCATTCTATTAAAATTCGACGTAGAATTGAAAGAAGTAAATGAATTTTATCCCAAGAAAGAATTTTATCCCAAAGCGTTGAATTGTATGACATAATATTGGACGAAGTTATTATTTGAAAGCTTATTTGAAGCTCTTAGTTGTAGAGAAATTTCGCCAATTTCCTCGTTTTATCACTTTTGTGCCCCCAACCATTATCGTTATCATACTGAGCCATTTAGTTCAAACGCTTTATTAGAAATCTTTTCATTTCTTTCTGTATCCATCACTTTGAATTCTCACTCATGGCCAGCGGGACAAAATCCTGACCGAAGATATGCTTGGTGGCAGCAACGAGCCCTCAGGCGTGCACGATATCTCGACCTCAGACAGCGACCACGACGCTCCGGTTTGGTCCAACTCTCCCCGGTCCAGCGATCGATCCGGCACCGATACATCCGGTTCACGTCAGGACAGTAGTACCGACAACGCTGTTACGGACGTTTTGCTCGAGCGATGCTCCAAAATACTTGCCGCTGTTGAGGCACAAGTGCATTCTCATAATCCAGTGATAAAGGTAAATTGCTGGTACTCCAGGTTATCTTAGAAGATTACCTACATGAATTGCTTGTAAGTGTAAGCCGTTTGTCGTAAATATTGTTGAGGGACAACTCTCTGTCTTTATGCTTATGCTCTTCCAACCTCCCTCATTCAAGTTCACATCATATTCAGAAGTACAGAGTTGCCAGACTTGTATTTTAATGATCTTACCTGTACAAAAGCGTTGTGCAATTTTAGTCATTAACTTTATGAAGAAGGAATCGAATCAAACCCGGAAGCACACAAAACAGGAAGTCCGGAAGTAATGTAGGAAAATGTAGGAATTGGTATTACTGAAACATTATTTAAATTTGTATAATTCTCAAACAATATTCTTACTCCTGCAACGTCCATTCTCTCATCACTCGCACATTTTTCCAAGCTTTTCCGATGGCATGCGATATTTTTACGATTATCCTCAGGAATCTTTGGTATCCCTACTGCGGTCACTGGAGCTACAACGGCATCTTTTGCTACAAAGGCAAAACCGTGCGCTTCCGAGCGATCCTTCGTACCTGGAACCACAGGCGCCGGTTGATGCCGCGACCCACGCCCATGTCAACTTGTTCAACGCGCCTCCTGACCACTGTCACATTCGTGAGTTTTATTCACCACGCACCGAGTTGCAAGAATCGTTTTCTCTCGACAATAATGTGAGTAAATTCATCTGAAGATGTCATGATCCATCTTACATCTAATATTTCTACTTAATCTCGTGATTGTTTTGGCTATTGCACTTTCTACGCAATAAAATACCAATATTATTCGATCTAAAATGAAAGGAACATTAGGATTGATTTTTATAAAAAAATGTTACGATCATCTAAATGTGACGCCATTAAGGAGCGACTAAGGTAAGGACTGTTTTGGATGTCTGTGAAGTGGTTCACCAAAGATAAATAATTGATACAATCTCTCAATGTATGCAGAAAATTTTAAAAAATGTGTTTACACTATCACAGTAAAATAAACATGGAATATTTATATAAACAATAAATAGTCTTTAGCAATCATAAAATTGCAATACAACAAATTCATTATGGAGTTATCATTGAATCAAACAATGGCAATTGACTCGCGGTAACAATTTATGATGCCGTCGATATTGTGAAGTAAGTCGCTTGTTAATTATTTTTAAGGTATTTTAATGGCAACAAGGATAACATTTTTCTTTCTGTCGCTCGCGTTCAACGGTCTCTTCAATCGTCAGCCCATGCTGATTCATACTTACCCCAAAACAATGAAAAACTTTTAGGGGGTGAAAAAATTTAGGGAAATAGTTAGGGGGATGAGAAATTTTTTCAGTACGAGCTTTGTTATTTGTTGCGTTATTTTAACTTCATCTGAAAGAACATTATTAATGCTGCTCATCATTTGGAAAATAATTTTTTTTAGTACGAGCTTTTTATTTCTTGCGTTATTGTAACTTTGAAAGAGTATTATTATTGCCGCTCATCATTTGGAAAATAAAAACAATAAAAATAATTCTTAATAAAACAAAATAAAAATAATTCATGGTCAGAAGAGGAGCCGCAGAGCGCGGCGAGCTGTGCCGTGGAGAGCATGCGGACCAGCCCAGCGGGAGGCGCGGGGCTGGCAGGCGTCGTGGGGCTACAGGAGGTCAAACAAGTCCTGCAGGAGGCGTTCGTGTGGCCGCGTCGCTTCCCTCAACTTTTTCAAGGTAGAAATTGTTCCCGTCTTTTGTTATATTAATGTTTTATTAACATTAACCACCTTTTTTATTTTCTGTCTGCCCAATTACTTGATGTACCTTTGTTGGATCTTGTTTATTTTGCGATGGTGAAATAAGTTGCCACGACGCTTGGTACCAAACACAATGTTGGGAAAATCTATTATTTTTCTCGTATTATGTCGCGTCGTGAAATTATTCAATAACTTACCGAACATTTTACATATGTATTCCATCCGATTTGTTCCATGTTAATACTGGAATAAATTCTTGTGTACCACCTCAACACTTCCAAGATAACTTACGCAAATATCATTTCTTACAGAAACGCTTCGCTTTTCTTCTGTGTTATTGAAGCCTTAAAATTTACTAAGTCTGTTCTCGGTGGAAAAAAATATATGTACACGAAAATCATGTGAATTTTGTTCACTTTACTATAATACTTTTTGTGCTCAGTTCTCGTTCGTAATCATGTGAATTTTGTTCACTTTACTATAATACTTTTTGTGCTCAGTTCTCGTTCGTAATCATGTGAATTTTGTTCACTTTACTATAATACTTTTCGTGCTCAGTTCTCGTTCGTAATCATGCGAATTTTGTTCACTTAACTAAATACTTTTCGTGCTCAGTTCTCGTTCGTAATCAAGTGAATTTTGTTCACTTTACTGAAATAATTTTTGTGCTCAGTTTTCGTTCGTAGAAATAAAACATTTCATAAAATTCCAGTGACTGCTTTTCCAGGAGAAGCAAGCGGGTGCTGGTCGCGGCTGCTGCTGTACGGCCCACCGGGCACCGGCAAGACGCGCCTCGCCAGGGCTCTCGCCCAGGAGCTCTGCTGCCCTCTGTACACCGTCACGCCCTCAGCGCTGCTCTCCTCCTGGCTCGGCGACTCCGAGAAGTAATCAGTAGCATTACAATCAGGGCCAGCACCAGCATTATAATCAGGGCCAGCACCAGCATTATAATCAGGGCCATCACCAGCATTATAATCAGGGGCAGCACAATCACCAGCATTATAATCAGGGCCATCACCAGCATTATAATCAGGGCCATCACCAGCATTATAATCAAACCCATCACCAGCATTATAATCAAACATCCAAATAATGCAATCAAATGTCGTCGGGTTTCCTTTCTTACAATCGTCCATCTTTATTTCTTTGATCAGTCACTATTTAACCACACAGGGCTATATTTGGACTAGTGGTTACTAGGATTAAATTGACACCGTTGCTTACATGTTTGAGCCCCAGCGAGCTGTAAAAACTCTGACATTTATGAGGTGATCGAGTGTTTAAGATTAGCAAGATTGAAGCAGCTGAGTTTATTTGTAGAAGTCCTAGAGTCAAGAGTCGGCGACAGGCGAGACAGACTTGACCAAATCTTCAAAGCTGGCACTAATCCACACTATACTTTCATTGCAGACAAATTATAGGTTCCTTCTTCTGAATCATAGGCTCCCATTGGGCATCCTAAAGAGTCTTAATTTATGATGGAACAATAGTTAGTAATTATAGTCTTATTATTGTTTATCCAACTTCATCGATATGACAAAATTCACAACGAAAATTCGGTATATTTTTAGCATAAAGGTATTTCAAGCAGCACGTTAATAATTAGTAATAATTTATATTACTGGCATTTTATGTATTGCATACTTGAGTATGTGGTGATTGCGGTGTGTATCGTACACGACAGGATCGTGCGTGAGTTGTTCAGCCGTGCTCGCAGTGAGGCAGGTCCTGTGATCGTCTTCATGGATGAGATGGACGCGCTCTGCCGCACTCGCACACACGCCGAGGACGACTCCACGCGCCGGTGAGGGTTACGCTGCCTTCCATGTAAGGACTTCACTTATGTGGCGCTCTGAGAATTATTGGCGGAGACATGGAGAGCATTTGAGACAGGGAGAGAATTATGGTGGAGACTCCACCCGCCGGTGAGCGTGCAGCTGCCTTCCTTATAAGGACTTCACTTATGTAGCGCTCTGAGAATTATATGCGGAGACATGGAGGGAATTAGAGACACTGAGGGGTCAGTCGGAGACACGGAGAGAATTATTGCGGAGACTCCACCCGCCCGTGAGCCTTACGCTGCCTTCCTTGTAAGGACTTCACTTCATGTAGCGCTCTGCGAACCAGCTGCGGAGACATAGACGGCCTTTGCTTGACGTGTTGCCATTCAGAAGGCGAGATGTCTTTAGCGTTGAGGTCGCTAGGCCTGTAATCAATAACTGAGACGAGCAATAGTAATGTTGAACGAAGACTGTCTTCGATAAAGATGCTCATGCTAAAGTCTGGTTTGAAATCTCAACATTGAATAAAAACTGTATTAATCAATCTTATACCATATATCACTCATTTCGTAAAACTTTTTCGCTCAAATTAATACCTTTCGAAATAGAAACATTATTGTTTTCTCTAAATTTACGGCATTAACATACTTACAAAATACCATAGAAGTTGTATTGGATGACTGAAGCAATGTAATATGTTTCCTTTCACAGTATAAGCATATATGCGTTTCTTGGTTTCGCGAATGGAATTGAGCCAGTGATATCTGCGTAGATCCTGCAATCATTTACCATGTCCTGTTCTGACAATACGTGTACAACAATACCCTCACTTCCTTCTTCAAATATTGTACTCTTTCAATTTCAGCATCAAAACAGAGCTGCTCGTTCACATGGACAACGACCGGAGAGCTGACACTGCAGGCCATCACGGGTGCAAGAGAAACTTTACTAATTTTACTTCCACTACAAAAGATCATTTCACGTCTACGAATAACAGCTGTCATGTCCTGCAGGAAGATGATGGCATTTCTCCTTCCAAAAAACTCAATTCCGCGAAATTCCCGCATCTGATGAACAGTTTTTTGTCGAGGACCGTGGACGCATCTATTCGTAATGAGAACAATAATCGTCGCGGACGAGTTTCATCTTCGGACGAAGATATTTTTTTCATGAGCGATGAGCCTCATGAAGGGAGCTCAGTTTACCCTGGCATGGACAGCACAACCCACGGCACATTTCGCAGCGGCGACCAAAACGATGAGACGGGCGGCGTCAATCAGTTGTTCGTCATCGCCGCGACTAACTGCCCATGGCACGTCGACCCGGCCTTTTTAAGACGATTCCAACGTCGATGTTACGTCGCACTCCCGAACGGGTCAGTTCCTATCATTAGAAGACTACTTTAGAGTGAAAAAAATGTGTGCATCAGGTAAACAATAACTATAGAATCATTATATCATTTTTGATGTTCGAACCTTATTTCGCAGTACGGAACGTCGTGCGCTGCTGGAGGCAGACTTCGCAGGCCGCCGTGTGGAGCTTGACGCAGCCTCGTGGCAAGAGGTCATATCGGCCACTGAGGGCTACTCAGGCGCTGACCTCGGCAACTTGGCTACCACCGCTCGCTGCCTGCCAATCAGAGAGCTGCATTCTGCTCGCTATTGGCAGTTTACTGATGGTATGTTCGATGAGCGACGAGATAAGTTTTGGTGAAATCTTCCAAAAGAACGATCCAATTATCACTCTATAATCGGTCACCGGTGGTCATTATTGCTGGTTGTGACTGTTCTCGTCTCGTGCTCTCTTGTAACCGTGAGTACATGTCACTAGGAACTAGTGGCTATATTTTTTTACCTCTGTTTCTACTCTTGTTTTACACAGACGACTGCACCCCCATCATATACCTGTATTTTCACTCTCCCCCTCCCCGTACCCTCATGACCCCTCCTCCAGAGGGTACGTCTGCCTCAAACCTGATGGGCTTGTCCCAGAGGATGAGAGGCAGCCTCCTCCCAACATCATCATCACGACCTAGACTCCCATCTCACTCATCGTGTCATTCTCCCTCATCTTCATCCTCATCCCACCCACCATCAAACTTATCAGAACGATCGTGTCCCAACATTGACCCAAGAATATCTACCGACCGACCCAAAATATTCCAGACAACCTTCAAAGAACTCGACGCTCCAATAATCCGACTCACCGACCGCAATTGACGCAATTTTACGCCGTAACTGACGACGCTACTGCAATTGGCAAAATGAATTCAAAAAAGCGACCGAAGCATTCCTGAAAATCAACCTGACACCCATTATACCCCCAGACCTTCGAGCTAAACAGACCATCTTTATACGACAAATAGACAGAGGGACGTAGGAAGCCACGCAGCAGACGAAATCAAATACGAAATCACTACACTACAGAAGTGGCTACATATACAAGACGTCATCAAAATCAGACACTACACACATGTCATCAAAATCATTACCACAGACACTGCAATAACCCAGCGCACACTTACTAGTGGATTCTACATATACAACACGAAATCTCACCTTCATAATGCGAACAAGAACAACACACACACTTACTCATATGCACTTACACACTTTAACAAATATAAGAGCACCCTACACATCAATGCACATCCACCACTCCACTCCCTCTTGTTACGAATGCGCCGCAAAAGACCACACATGAACACAATGCTCTAACACTTACAAGAGTTGCCTAAGCTGCCAGAACAACCACCGACTGCCCATACCGCAAATAGAAAATTCAAAATTCAACACAAACAACAGAAACAGACCGAGACCATCAAACAAAAGACCAATCAAAATACGTCGACATCGCCAAGCAAGCAATACAGCAAATCAACGTCCCCCAACACAGCCTGACACTGACACACAAGACTCAACTGAAACTGACCGCCATAGTACTGGAAGCCCACTTCGCCAGCCTCTCCCGCCAGGAGGGGCTCAGTACCAACTCTCCGAATCTCTAAAAGATAACTATGACATTGACGCGACGTTCCCCCCCGACAGAGACTCAGCAAAAATTTCCAACTTCTATAATCAACCAGAGACCACGACCCCTGACTCTGACTTCATCCCTATAGGACCAAATTTATCGACGATAACGACCTCAGACGCTCATAACTCAACCTCTCTCAACAACCAATAGACGACGACAACCGGAGAAATGACTCTCCACCTCCGATATCCATAACTCGTAACGAAGACCGTGATCCTAGGAAAAAACATCTAATAAGAGTACAAAGAATCATTTATCACAAGACTCTAAAAAAGATCCCACAGAAATCCCCATGGACCCATATAACCATTGGTATGCCGACGAATTGAGGAAGGAAGATTACTGACTGAGGCTCTCGGTGAAGGGCGCTGACTCATCGAAAGTACTTGACTTCCTGAAATGTGACATGTGACAGACTGAAGATGCATCAACCACTAGTAAATATCATCCCCCACGACACCTTCGTCAACATGGACAAACACTCGACAACAAGCATCAAAAAGATGAAACACTCCATATTCAAACACCCCTTAAAATGACCCTTCAGTCCACACTAAAGATAACACAACACAACGTCCGTCACTCGTACAACAATAGATTTACTCTTGCAAGCAGCTACAACCACATACACACAGACATAATACTTATCAACGACCACTACATTACAGAGGATAACACCCAATTCAAGATATTCTATCGCAATGTATATTGTTGCAATAATGATAACACTCTACACCTCGGTGTTGCCATAGCCATTAAAAGACACTTGCCTTACAGACTCCACGACAATTCCCGCACGGACATGCTCGCAATCACAATTGCCACTCAACAGGAACCCACCACAATAGGAGCTACATGCATCCCACCCCGCATAGACTACATCAACTACCTTGACTTCCACACATTGTTGAATAGGCCCCATCACGTATACCCCTTCGCGCACGTAAACGCAAGACATACAAACCACATAGGAAGACAAATACACTAATATCCACATGCAAATGTACCCACATCAGGCCTACTTTCCAACTCTCATCACCCACAACAGCACAACATCAACCTGACAGAGTTCTACGCAACAATAGGGTATTCCACAACATACAGCCAGGACCCATCACTCCGTCAGGCCACATTACCATAATAGCCACAATATCTACAAATCCGTTCAAATACCCATCCGTCCTCGTAGTTCCTTCCATAGAGAAAATTGGACACTTTCCAGCAACACGCCATTCAAGAGATCTACACCTTCGAAAATAAATGGCTCATTAGGTCAATCACAAATAAATTTAAGATTATACCCATCATTAGGCGAAACACTTCCGACATGTTCATAGACAATACCAACTTTCCATGCACCAACAAAGGAACAGTTATGGGTTTACACTTCACTACACACGGCATCAGCTTCCAAATAGCGAAAAGAAAAGCAATAGCCCTCACAAATCTACACAAAATACACAGATTTTACCTACTCCCACGCAACATAAAACACACTTAATGCCTCTCCTTTGTCAGACCATCACTCATTTACCCCACGATGCCGTTGCACACCCAATCAAGATCATCCATATCCAAACTGCAGACAGCTCTAAATAAAGCCCTCCGATTCATCACAAATTCACGCTGGTCCGCTTTCACATCATCATAAACACTACATGAACAATCCGACATTTTTACAATAAACACAGCCCTTCAGCAAAACCTGGTCCACCATCAAAACATATGATCCCCAACTCAAAACATGTGCATATTATTAACTCACATTCCTTCCAGACGCCATAGCAAGGCAGCACCGGTTATTCGAAAGCTCCAAATTACACTCAATAGGTCCCTCACCTACACCCCTGTACAAACAACTACACAGCAGACCATGCTGCACCAGAACAGCAGCTGTTCCCGTCACGTCTGTGTGTAGCTGGTCCCATAACAATCATCATCAATACACTACAATGATGACGGACTGACGCAACTCACCGGGAGTGACACTCTGTGAAGACGAGACCAATGAACTACTGAAAACCCAGCAAAAAATTGACAAAATTCACCCTCTAAGTCTCGAGCGACTAACCATCATCATCATCACCAGCGTTATTACCTTCATCGTCGCCATATCATCTTTCGGGAGAAAAAAACTACAAAAATATAAGTGAGAACGCATGTAAATAGCAAAAACACGCATCATTTTTATTTTCGTTTAACAGTGCTCAAAAGTGTAAATAATTTAAATAAAGAATCACCATCTCATCGCCCACCTGCTTAAACCATCCAAAGCCCTGACGGGTCTCCAACCCCCACCCAATCATGCGCAATGTAACATTTTCACCTCCTGTCTTTTTCATTTCTCCTTCTTCTTTCTGGCCACTGCGCAACCTCATGTTCTCCTCCACTCATGCCTTGTGGTACCGCACAACAGCAACAACAAATTTTTAATCGTGAATACTATTTGGAAGCATTTCAAGTGCGTTAGATAGGGGTTTACTAGTTTTCTTAAGCTATCTGTTTTAAAATAATAGTCCTAAAGAAACTTTATGTAGTTTGAACATAATAATTAGATTCGATTCTACATTGACTACTGTAGTTTTAATTGAGGTTTCAACAAACTTTGAGTACACGGCTATCATGATTTTTAATTATAAAGAAGGAATCAAATATTAAAATAATCAAAATCGTACGTGTAATTGTGTTGGTTGATTGTCCGCAGACAACCTGATCATGCCGTGCAGCAGCGACACGCTCGGCGCCATGCAGTACACGCTCGACATGCTCCCCAGCAACAGGGTGCGTATGGCATCACGAGCCTTCACTATATGTAGTCTTGCCTGCTTGCATGTTAACAATTGTGCCTTTAAGTTAACATTGAACGTTCCTTTGTTTTTCAAAGCATCCTGCTGCCGCTCACAATAGGAGTCTTACACTATCTTAGGAGACCATGCGGACTTAGGAGAGACATGCAGACTTTCATTTCTAACAGAAAGATTTAGCACCACAAGCAGCTAGGCTTGAATTTAATCCTTCTCGACTTTAACCAACGTGCTGCTTTTATGGCATGAAATATACCTCGATTATATCGATAAAATGTAAATCTGAATAATAAGACCTTTCCCAATGACAGACGAAGATATTCAACCTTAGTTAACAAGCTCAATCCATACAACATGATCCGACAACATCAGCCAACGCGGAAACTCTGTATGATTATTGTTGTCTGCCCTATGAATGAAGGTTCATATGGCAGACAGTCAGAATGAATATGAATGAACTATATTCATTCTAGCTATTATTTGCAAAATCTTCATTGTTTATTCGGATCTTTTGTATCGCTCTTCTAAAACTTTAGTCTAGCATCAAATAAATCTCACGATATAACTAGGTACTTGGGTTAAATTCAACTTCTACCATTTCCTGTCAATACGCGCCCAAAAACATAAATTTTCATGCATATCTTGGAGCTGCTGTAATTTATCTGGTGTCACAGGTGACCGTTCGGCCCGTGCGACTGGAGGACATCCTCGCGGCAGCTCGCGCCACTCCGCGCTCTGTTCCCTCTGCCCTCCTGCAGCAGTATGCTGATTTTTCCTCCTGCTAGTTAGCTCTTGTGTGGAATGTCTAATGTAAGGCACTCAGTATATTTAGAATTAATTAAATATCTATCTTTATCTTTTGTAATGTTGCCTTTTTTGTAGTAAATATCAGCCATCTAGCTACTCCGAGTATACTGGTTATTAATAAAATAAGTCAAGTCTCAAGCATTGCTTTGTTTCTAGTCATTAATTCACAGGTATACTATACTAGATCGAACAATCGCTGGTGCCTTCTTAAAAGAACGATCAATTTTCACACCTTTACCCCTGTAGCAGACCGAGAATTTAAAAACCTCTTAGCGGTAATAGATTCACACGGTGCCATGTGGTGTACACGGTGCCATGTGGAGGTGCATGACGTAATGTCTTCATAATAAGTTGATTTAGTTGCAGTGTTGCACTATATTCTAATGTGCTAGTATCGATTCTATAAAGAAGTACAAATTACAGCAAGTGGGTTACAGTAGGTGAGAAAACTTAGTTTATAAAGACAAGTTAAGGTGAGAAAGTAAACTTCAACTCCTTCTATTCTCTTGTATGACTATTCCTCCCCGCCCATGAATTAGAGACGCTAGATCTATGCTTGTAAATTGATCGGTCAATTTTAATAAGAATGGAACGAGATACTCGAGCATTCTCGTAATGTGATTAAAAAATGTAATGTGATTATATGTGAATAGTAAATGTGATTATACGTAGAAACATACGAGTAGCGGGCGGATGCGCACGAATGCTATAATTATTTGACATCATAGATCCAGTATACACGCAATGTATTCTGAACGCACACGAGTTTAAAATTTGTGATTATTATAAGCTTTTCTTCCATTGATTAATTTTGTAGAAATAACCGATTTTCAAGTTCGTTGGATCTCTCCGACTACCTATTTGTCATCATTGAGTGGCCACATAGGGCTCACCATAACGGACTCTGATATGCCTTGGCCTGACGGTCGAGTTCCCGAAGAGTTCCTTCGAGCTTCTTGTTGATGTAGTCGAGGTGGTTGACTACCTCCACGTCAAGTTTCTGCGCATGGCTTACGTTCGGTCGAAGCCTGCGAGTGAAGGCCGCTGCCACAGTCATCATGTATTCGACGACCTCATAGTCGTTAGGTTGTGCGCTTAGATCTTCCTTTATGGCTGAAAACGCATTGCAGATGATAGCGATCAGGAATGGGAAAACAATAAAGAACATGATGAAGCAGTACATGAAATAGAATATCGGACCAATGAATTTGTTACCTTGCTGGATTTCCTCAAACTTTTGATCAATTACGAAGAAAGAAGTCTCAATGGCGTTTAAGAAGGTTGAGAATTCACGACTGGTGTCTCGAGCGATGGTGTAGAACACAGTTACGAAGCTCACTATAGAAATAACAAGCACTAAGAAAAATGCAAGAATTTCAGGACCAGCGAGTTTCAGAGTAGCTGACAAATATCCTATTCTTTTGTTAAAGCGCAGTAGACGAAGTAGTTTTACCGTAACAAAGAAGAGCATTAAACCTATTACTTGAGTGAGGGTTTTGTCGAACACGGCCAAGGACTGCATGCGTATATCTTTGGTCTTTTTCTCCTTGGTCAGCATGTCCAGCAGCCAATATGTGTATGCAGTCTTTATTAGGTAGAAGACAATGGCAACGAAAGCAAGAATAATGACAGTTATCTCCAAGTAGTTCCAGGAAACGGCGAAGTACTGGCGTCCTTCTTTCTTCATGGCTTGATATTCTCGCCTAGTAAAGAAAAATATGAAAATCAAGAAACAAATTTCGCACGCGAGAACAACACTGCCGGCGCCCGTGTGGTAGCGCAGGAGGTTGAAGCCTTGGTACTTGAAGGTGGGCGTGATACCACCTCCCGGTAATACCTCCGCAATCAGCTGGATCACTCCGAACAGGTTCACCTGAAAAATTCAAACGTCTAAATATGCTGGATGTGCGGCAATTGCTTATGATTTCAAAGCATTACATGCTCGGGAGAATTTACTAAACTGAATAGCTTCAACAATGATTCAAGACAAAGCTGCTTCAAGCTACAAACAGGTTCACCTGAGCAATTCAAACGTCTAAATATGCTGGATTTGCGTCAATTGCTTATGATTGCAAAGCAACACATTCTGGGGAGAACTTAGCCCAACTAAACTGAATAGCTTCAAAAATGATTGAAGGCAAAGGTGCTTTAAGCTAGGCTACTCGTTGATCTGTGCTCAGACGTTATATATTCACACTTCAGGCACATGTTATGCTCAAACGTCAGCAACATATTATGTTATCACGTCAGCAACATATTATGTTATCACGTCAGTAACATGTTATGCTCAAACGTCAGCAACATATTACGTTAGCACGTTAGAAACATGTTATAACGTAAAAATGAACTGAAAGTTTATGAGAAGCAAGCCCCATGCAAGATGAATGTTCTCTTCCCACCTGTGGGTTGTAGATGGAGACCTCAGCAAAGATGGCCCTCGTATACTTATCAATCCAACTGTTGTTCTGCAGCAGGTCAATGATCTCTATAGTTTTGTTGAGAGGCTTGGCTAGCCCAGCAATATAACCTCCACCGCCGTACCTATGAACATATTAGTATTTTCTCGATAAATATTTTTAAGCATATCTCATTTAATAGGGTTTCTTAAAGGGATATCGGCCAGAAATGATTATTAGTAAACATTCATGCATCGACGATACAACAACGCGAACTGTACGGCGAATGTATACAAATGAGGTTGACACGGTGCGTTTCATAAGCAAATCGCATCCACGAAATTAGTCCACTGCCTTCATTGATTCCAGTAAATGGTGGCATAATATTTCTTTGCTAAATAAGTACAACTCAAGTACAAGTTGTAAATAAGTACAAGTTGTACAATAAGCACAAGTTGGCTTATTTCTTTGCGAAATAAGCCAACTCATCCGACTAAGAGATTCGACATGAAAAATTGAAGTAATATTCAGTGTTTAAATTCAACGTGAAAATGGAGTAGTCTCCTGTAATATTTTCTTTATTCGTCACCGATATTAAGACCTTCCTAACTACTTCAATGATCAGTAAACTACTTGGAGCAATCAATTTTCTGCTAATTTATTCCATTGTAGAAAAATCGCTCTCAAAAATTAAAAATCAGATAGAATTGAATTATTTAACTAGGTAAATAATTATATAATCGAACGTGACTCATGAAAGGTTGTGATGAAATCTGTCATGGCCAAAATTGGGTTTTTAATTTTATTTATTGGGTTAAAATTTTATGAAAAAATAATAATTTTGATTTGTAAAATGATTGACACATTTCTTACTCATAAAAAAGTTCCCATTTGATCACCATGAATGATATTACAGTCTCGCAGAAACTCAGTAGCCAAAAAATGTAACTCGGTACTCACTGCAGTGAGTGACAGAGAGCGCATTTTCTCGTTGACGAAATCGTGAAGTCACGGACGGACAGACAGACGGACGGACATGACGAGCGCAATAGCGCCTTCTTCCCATAAATGAGAAAATGCGCTTAAAAAACGGCACTCACGTTCCCAGATTGCCGGTGTACGGCACTCCGTGTAATGACAGAGATGTGCGGTAGCGGTAGTACAGGTGAGGCTTGGTGACGTTCCTCTCCCAGCCTAATCCGTACGACTCGTCGTCTGCGATGCTAGGGTCGGTCTTTCCTGAGCACTCCTTGATGGCGAGCTGCATGATACCGGGCACCACGCAAGCTCCTGCAGTGACCATGCAGGCATTTGTGACCAGTCATTGTGGCACACAAAGACGTACAAGACCTACTCGACATCAGCCATGTCGTGTTTAGACAACTTCATCATCATAGAAGCAGTTGCACTATTATTTTCATGGTAATTTATGACATATTCCAATAGATTGTGTCAATTTTTTGAGAAGTCAAAGGTTATACTTGATTAAAATAGAGCTCATTAGACAATATTTTTCTAAATAATTTCAGTTTCAGTGCTCATCTGCTTTCATTCCGATTAAGTCACAAGTCACATTAGCATTTGAATACATGGTCAATATCATGTTCTTTGGTAGCCCCCTCATTTTCTTCTCGTAACATTAGCTAAATTTCTACCGGCCGCTTATAGATGCGATCACGATCATTCATGATGGAATGCTGGGGCCATACTTTCAAAACTCGCTAAATGAACATAAATACTTACGCTCTGTTTTCTTGTCTATGATTAGTGGATTTTGCTCGAAAGGCCGTCAATGATTGGCTAATGAACTTACGATCTCTTAACTTTTTTTGAACAGGTTCAGTCTCTGCTCACCTTTCTTATTACGTATTTGTCTGAGGAGCGGCCGACCCAAGATGAAAGACACGCGGTCGTCGACGGTGTTGGCTGAAAATTTGTCAGGAGGGCCGCCATTGTAGGGTGTGTCGTTGTACAAGAAGGGCGCAAGACTCTGATGAAGCCACTCGAAGTAATCGTCCACTGTTTGGACCTGATCAAAAATTCTTCTAAACTCGAAAAAATGTTATATTTTTCAGCGCTATGACTCAATATGATAAAGGTTATTTTTCATTAAATTCGTTGAGATACCTCACTTGAAATGTAACAACTTCTAAAATTAATCAAAGACCGATAAATACCTCAAAGAATTGCATTATCTTGTCTCCATCGTGGGATGTGGCGAGTCTGTCCTTGAAGTGTTTATTCTGCAGGAAAAGGCTGATATCGGTGCTGGTGTACGACAGAGTCCCGATGATCGTCACGAAGAGCAAGTAAACCAGTATGTCCATCAATAGCCGGTTCATCGCCACCTAAATTAAAGTATCAATATTAAAGTGGTTATAAGTGGTATAAAGTGGCTCAGTGGTTACAGTTCAGAGTACCATGATTGGCGCAGAGAGGCGCGGGTTCGATCCCATCTCTGTGCGCCAGTTTCGGGTCAGAAACGGCGAGGAGACCGAGCGGTTCAGCACTGAAGAATTGAAGCAGTGAGTTGCGTGTTTGAGACCGCAACATGCTGTGAATGTTCTGCGATGTTAAGGATCGATGACAGGCCTACGGCCTAATAAACGCTGAAACCGCTATTATCATTATTAAAGATGGGCAGCCATCATGAGATAATTTGTATGATCATTAAAATTCATTTAGTTCCACGTGCAAAACAGAAACGTCTTTAAGACTTGAAAATTGAAATTTATGTAATTTGAGTAAAGCGATACTAATGTGCAACGCAAATAAGTAATGAATTTCTTAATTTGAACCCTTGCACTGAGAAATTCACGTCAGCTGACCTCGGTAATTCTTTAATAGATTTATTACCGTAAATCTGGACTTTATCAACTTCCCACTTCAGTAGATAGTGTTGTATCCTGAAAGTGTTATCAAAGGTAAAACATCGTTTTTCTATACGCCAAATAAGAACTTTAAACGAACTACAAGTGGGCTTATATAGTTACTCAGATTGTATTTGTCTCCTAAACACCTGATAAAGTGGATGTACCTGATTACTCAGCTTGTATTTATCCACTAAATAACTCATAAAGTGGATGTATACCTGATTTTTCCGTCTCTTGCGAGCCTCCTCAAGCGCCTCTGGACTGATGCCGCTACCGACGGTCTTGTCTCGTTTGCGTGTCAAGTCTTCTACACCGCGGCCTGTCGTAAAACATGTCACAAACATTTTTGTATGTCGGTATAAAGTTTCGGGAGTTATCTAGAAATCATTTGGTTTATGACGCAAAGTTGATGGATTTAACGGATTGGTGCAAATTCTGTTTTACATCAAACATTCTTTGTTTCTACGGTGAGCCCAAGCTAGCCGTCATATCGCATGTGCATGCTACAAGCCCAGGATTCAGCTCACATTTTCATTGATAACCTAAGTTGTATCATCTTACCATTGACTTCCCCAGGATCCACATAAAATATTAATGACATTTTTATTCGCCAATTTTTGATAAATATTCACACAGCTTAGACACCAATATTGACTTGACACTTCTGCATGTCCCTAAAAAAGTAATAATAAAAAAGTAATTTTATAAATTTCTCTCTTATTAAAACACATTTTTTGTCTAGCATTTTTTCATAAATGTCTTTCTCATGTAATATTTGTTAAAATGTAATGAAAATATAAAAAGATATTATAAGTTAAAATTCTTGGCTTATATTAGATTTTCCAAAACCTTGATTAAATAGAGAACCTAAAGCGTAGAATCAAGATTTTATAGAACCTTTTTTAGAGATTACTCAAGATTATATGCTTACGTAGGAATTAAGAATGTGGAGGGAAGGAGAAAACAATTGAGGAATGAACTACAGTGAGTGTAGATTTATCAGAGGGAACAACTGTGGTTGAACGGAAAACGATATTTAGATAGACAAAGATAGTATTGATGCCTTGTGAAGGAAAAAGTAAAAAATATATTATCAATAGCCTAAAAAAATCTATAATAGATTCTTTCAAATTGCGTGTCGACATTTTTTATTTGAATATATTTTAGTATCTTACGATATTACTGATAAATAGGTCAGGTTCTTGGAATGAATTAAGATCTCTTTAATTGATTATATTTTGGGGATTGAGGAATGTGGACTTTTGATTACTATTGAATAGATGACAGCTAGTGAGCCGCGTGGCTGACAAGAAGAACAAAGACGCACGAACAACTTCGTTTGTTCTTGTCAGGAACATCTTCGTTCGTGACAAAGAATTGACCCGAGATCTCCAGTTTCCCAATTTCAATGTCCGCCTAAGAAGTGAATGTAAGAAAATGCTAGCTTCACAAGCCACCATGGCTTTGTCTCGTGGGTGACATTGCCAGTCCCAATTAATTACTTTCGAACCACCTTCATCGGTCCAACTTCTACAATAAGCCTCATGACGCCAAGAATGTGTTGTTCAGTATGATTTGCAGCACCTGCATGTAGGCACACTCCCACAAAATATGGAGCTTTTGTCATATCCAACTACTACCATCATTAATAAGATCAACTTCGAACTTCGCAAGAATCAAAACTTTCTTCACTCAAGAGGAATCAAAGCCTTGCAATTAGGTATAGTTAATAATATATTAAGTAGATACAATGAATCTATATAATAGTATGTATAATTAATCTGTTGTATTTCTCAGTCGAAATGTTAATAAGATAATCCGATGAGCTGAGAACAACACTATATCATTGAAAAAGTCCTACACACTAAAAATTCACTTTTTAGTAAAAACTAAAATCCGAAAAACGGGGTTTTCAACAAGCCACGTTTTTGGACGAAAAGAAGAAATGCGTTATTCACTTCCAACCGAACGTTTTTTAATCACATCAGAACATGGCCCCAACTATAATTTCACAGAAATACATTAAGATAGCAAACCTATTGGAGCCTCGGCGTGCAGCAGCTCCACGTCCCAGTCGAGCTCGTGGTAGTCTTCGTCGTCATCGTAGTCGTCGTGCATGTCCAGAGGACGTCGGAGAATCCACGACAAAATCATCGCCGTCAAATAAATCTGGCGTAAGAAAATTAATTAATTCATTGATGATTGTTCGAACGAATATTTTAGGGTCGCATGACTCACCGAGGCTTCAAGTTGACTCTCTAAACAAGTGAGATAAATACGTACATTTTCTAATCATGTGGAAACTCGATTACACTTCACTCACATTATTGCAATTCATAAAATGAAGTTATGAATTTAAATTAATTTCAATCAAAAAGAAAGCCAGGATTTATTTATTCATGTAGGATGGAAATTTACAGAAGTCTGTCAGAAATAATAACTGTAATAACATTAATAATTGCATGGAACTCGCCTTAATTGGCTGCGTGATAAGCACCGACGAGAAGAGGGATGACAACAGGGCGGTGAGCCACTGCGTGGTCTTGACGTTACCGAACATGATGCCGTACGCCCACAAGAAGAACACCGACACCACGATGCACACCACGCACAGCGCCCACGCGATGTATCGGAAGTACCAGGGTAATGTGCGTCGGAGCTTTCGCTTGTCTTTCTTCTTCTGATTTACATGAAATAAAGAATATCATAAAATAAATGTTAAAGAGGGTTTTAAAAACAAGTTCCAGATGCAAGGCATTAAAATTTATCACGTAGTGATCTATTAAAGATAGATAAATTGCGCAAACGTGAGCAATAACTTTAAATTTTTTGCAATACATGCCTCTACTTTGTCTTCTTTAGGCTCGGATGTCTGCATGGAGTCGATGAAAGCCAGTTTAGGATGGGATTTAACGCCCTTGGGCAGCGATTTAGAGGCGATATCTCCTTGCTTCATGTCAGCGTAGTTGATACTCTGCTTAGTGAGCGCCAGTCCCAACATTGTCTCCAGGTGATCGTGGTCTGCGGAAGTATCACGTAAGGTTTAAGTACTACACCCAGTAGTAATCTCTTGGGTGACTTTATTTTTAAAATATAAATAGTGAAGGGAAATTTATGAGCTTTCTTCAAATCACTAATATTGTACGCACGTCCGTAAAACTTCCTTTTGGTTAATTATTCAAACCCTGTTGATCGTTATTGTTATCTGTAGACTCCCATTGCTTTCCATATTTTTATTGTGCGTATATGGGCACTCGGTTAAAGAAGTGATGAAAAAACTTTAAAAAAGTAATCTACGAAAATGCATACTTTTTTTCTCAGTTTTTACAAGAGCTTCTTTGACTCTTGAGGCCTTTTGCTTCCTGGGACGAGCCTTCCTGAAGAAGTAGACGATAGCGAACGAAGGAGGGAACACGATGAGGTTCGTGATGAAGCCCACGCCCAGCGCCGCCGGTGCGATACGTGCAAAGCCCATGTTGATGGATGAACTTGATTCCGGCACCTACGTGAAATAAAAGCTCAAAATTTTATTGGAAACCTTATCAATTATTCTTTTTATGTCCTGGAAAAATGCACAATAAGTGGATTAAGCATCTTAAGTTTTTCAACTAACAGAGTTGCTGTAGAAGTAACATTTTTATTGCACTCGACACTGAGCCCTGAATATGAGTTTTCGATTATGTATTCCAGAGATTAACAGCAGGTGAATTAAAATATCAGCAGTTATGGGAGGAGATTAATAGTATTGGGACACTTACGACGTTATAGAACATGGCATTTGTGAGCATGGAGAGATAAACGAGTGCCATGCACGCAGAGAGTCTTTGGACTCTGGTGAACCTGGACCGCGGAGGCCGGAGGAAGATGCTGAACCAAAGATGGTCGTCTTGCATGGCCCTTTGCACTTTCTTGCCGATCACGTGCGCTGTGTCCTTCATTTGCTCCAGTCCCGCCACTGGCACCACTCGATCGATCTTATGAAGGGAACTTGAAACTGATCTATAGCATAGAGAATTTCTATGGGATTGGTTCATTGATATTAAGGAACTAAATGAATAAGTAATTACAAAGCCACCTGAAAACCGTCCATTTCCAGCCACTGGCACCACTCGATCGATCTTATGAAGGGAACTTGAAACTGATCTATTGGACTATAGCATAGAGAATTTCTATGGGATTGGTTCATTGATATTAAGGAACTAAATGAATAAGTAATTACAAAGCCACCTGAAAACCGTCCATTTCCTTTAAAGTAGGCAATTGAAGCGACAGGAATGAGGTTGTTGTGATTATGAGGACGAGGATAGGCAAAGACTAAACCCCGCATGCCTCGCTGAGGAAGAACCTTAAAAACAGTATTTGAAAATTTAGTGTAATGCTTCTAAAAAAATATCCACAACTAACCATGCCATCGCCCTCCTCGACGGCGAGCCAGTCGTTGCAGATGAACTGATACTCAGCGCCCGCCTGGAGGTCTCGAACAACCATGTGGCTGAAGAGCCAAGAACCTGAGTTCCCAGGTCCGTTGTTGTCGTGCCAAATGCGCAGGTACCGAAGTGGACCCAGACACCTTCAAGGAGAGGATGCAAACTTTCGACTACCACTTGGTCCACATGCCAGATCAAGAATACTGCCTCAATAAAGTTTCATTGAATGAAATCGACCTACTGTATCATGTGAAACTTTTCAAATAGTATTTCTTTTAAATTAGGGGACTTTCACAAATTTTCCCTCTATTAAAAGTCTTTATCATTGTGAATGCAACGAGTCGCTTTGAAAAAATAGGTTTTCCATTAATATACACAATTCAGCTTGGGAATGGTCAATGTTTCATGTGAAAATTTTAATTTAGTTTTCCTTTAAATTACTGGGAATATCACAAATTCTCCCTCTATTAAAAGTCTTAATCATTGTGAATGCAGCGAGTTGCTTTGCATAAATTGGTTTTCCATTAACATGCACAATTCAAATTGGGAAGGGTCAGTCCACTACAAAGGAAACTTAGGAATTAAATTGCGAAATAAGTGCAAATATGACATGGAGAAGTTGTTTTGTATCCGCTTAGTTACAGAGATTAATGCTCCAAACTGCTCCTGATTGGCAGCTCGACTGTTGCTAATTTTTAGCGCATTTTCTCATTTATGGAAAAAATGCGCTATTGTGATCGTCATATCCGTCCGCCCGTCTGTCTGTTGGTCCGTCCGTGGCTTCACGTTTTCGTCGACGAGAAAATGCGCTCTCGGTCACTCACTGCAGTGAGTACTGAGTTATATTTTTTATTATTATTGGCAACCAACTATAAAATACTGCACGAATCCAATTTGGCTTGATATGAGGGATGCGACCACACCTCGGGACGGTGAGGACAAAGTGGTCTTGAGCGCCGGTGTACAGGATCCGACGATGATGGTCTTGCAGCGTCCTTATATCAGAGTCGCCCCAGTCGCCAGTGAGTAGAAAATTCACCTAAAAAATTATCAGACACGAAATTCAGGAATTGCAAAGCAAATTCTCTGTAATAATTTTACGAAAACAGTCACGCGAATTACCTCAGTAACTCAGCCACCAAATTGCTGAGAACATAAGCAATATTTTCATATCAACTTTTCCGACCAGTATTGTTCATACAGAGAGAATTTTTCTTATGTTGTTCTTACTTCAATAAGAACGCGGATAGAAATTGGATTAAGTTACACAAGTGAGAGGTATCCTTATGAGACGTTTTTGCTAAGTGCCCATTAGCTATTATGCTGCATGGCAATCTAGCAGAATATTAAATCGATTCACATTCTGTCTACTCTCAAACGGCCGTAAAAGCAACTATAATGTTACTGACCATGCAAGTGTTCCACTGACCAATACAAAAAAATCGCACACACAAAAACTTGAGACACTCTAACGAAAATATAATTACGACCCACAATGAAAGTACATCCGAAAAGCACAGAATACATGACGGGTAGCCAGAGTTTTTCACTGTTATCAACCGAGTTTTTTCGCAACCGCCGAGAGGTCTTTGGTCGGTTCATACTAACGTCGGTTTGGTCTGCAAGCGATTTATTTTATCAAAGGCTAATGCAACATAAGCGGACGGTAGCGTTGTACCATCAAGGTGGTGTGCTCATTTATTTTTGTCTCAAAGCCATCATGGATCCAGTTCCTTCAAGCAGCGCCATATATTACCAGTTCAAGCGAATTACACATTTCAAATTTGATAAAACTATTATCAATAATTTTAAAAAAGAATTTATCACTTTGGATTTGGTTCCCGAGTTGGGCTGGAATCCGGTGAAGACATAGAGCTCGTATACGTAGTGATCTTCCGGCCTGTTCTCAGGTAGGGGAGTCGCTCCAACGTACTGCAGATCTTTTTTGTCCTGCAAAATAATTTATTATTGGGAAGTGTCACAATATGCAATGAAACGCATTCACTGGGCATTGTTTTGATTTTCTGCTGATTTTAGCCGTAAAGTAACCGTTGACATGCACGTTAAAAACAGATTGTGATTGGAAACAATCCACGTATGTATTTGTGTTCAACTGACTCGTCCCAAGACCACGCTAACATCGCACCCCGGCACCCGCGTCATGGGTTTGAAGGAGGCCTATGTTAGCTGATTTTGTTTCTGACTTAAATTAAAATTACATTTCAATTTGCATAGTAACCATGTTTCTAACAGACACGGCATAGATAATCTGATTTTAGCAGTCCGGTTTATCTTTTCACCAATTCGTGTATATGTTTGGAGCAAACGTATTGGAATCAATATTTAATTAACAAACCGTCTATCAGTCTCTTTCATTACTTAAACGAGGCAGCCCAGAAATATTCTTTCTAATCGACCTTAATCCTGGCGTAGATGAGTCCGATAATGTAGAAGCTCAAGGAGAGGATGATCGTGAGGTAAATGGTAAGGTTCTCTGCGAAACCGGCGTTTGCGAAAACGTAACTGAAGTCGATGGGGTTTGGCATTGGGAGGAAGCCACTACCGAACGACGTGAGGTGGTTGCAGGCGCATACCGTTGTGCTCGCGTTACCATTCACCACCTGGGAAGAAATTATGTTTTGAGGGATAATACCTGGCAAGTCAAGGCGAGGATGGGAATCTTTTTCATCAAATAATTACGACGATTAATAACCTAAATTTCAATATTTTATAACTGAAAGAAAGAAAGAGAGGTATTTTGTTCCACTTAAAGTCGAGACAACTCACTTTACATCCTCTGCTGCTCCAAGCTAGCGTCTGTTTGTCGAAGAAGAGGCAGGAGCTAATGGCCGTCCGAATAGCATAGTCTTGTCCGACGGGCAGCAGCAGGGCGAGCGTGTCGTTGAAGGGAGCTGAGCGCAACTCCATCAACGCAGATGAGATGTTCTCCCGAGTCACCTCGGACTGATCCACGGAAGAGCGAAACATTAGCAAAAACTTTATAGTTTTTATTTTAAAGAGGAAAGCTGTGTGACGGAAGATTACAATTCAAAATATAAATTACAGTCTATGCTCCCTAGCTGCTGCTCTCAAAATTACTTCTGAAACTGTGATCATCCCCTTGAAAGATATCAAAGGTAGAGCAAAGCACATGCAGAGTGAACACGAGGTAGATCCTTAAGTTGTTCCAAAACATGCTTAATGTTTATTCCTTACTATGACATCATGTTCTACGTATCTACAACCATTTCTATGATTAGATTAACAGCTTTCCTGCAGTTAGGATTAAAAGAACGTCTTGGGACGATCATTCCAGTGTAATTGTCATGACACAATTTCTCGGAGAAACCCTGATCGAAAGATAAATACAGAGTTTGAGATTATCAATGAGCTTGACACGTTTCTTGTTGACATGTCCATTCCCTGAGCTGCTCACCTCATCCATGAGGTAGTCGCCATACTCAGTGAAGTGCTCGGCAACGGCCGTCAGGTTCACTTTAGCGACGCCCAGGAAATATTCAGAGACAACTTCTCCTTCGAAGTCAGGAGGCAGGGTATGGATGAGCCACTCGCTGGACAGGAATCGCTCATAGAAGCCCGTGTCTGGAAAAAAATTACAAGAAATGCAGTAAAACTGCAAATTTTAATGAAATAGATTAAAATATACATGTATTAATTGGTATTAAATTATATGCATTTGCAGAAAAGTTCTATTAAATATATTTTAATATCTTAACGCTGTTGTTCATGGAACTGATCAAGTTATCACAGGCCATTGATGTGCGCTAGGCTGTAATTAGAATTTTGATTGAATTTTGGCGTCGATTGCCGAACGACACAAATATTTATTTTTACCGCATGCGGAAGCGGATACAGTTTATCGGTCTGAAAGACTGTAGGACTTGCCCACTGACTAGGAATGTAGCTTTATGGACTAGTTTCCAGTGCTCCTATAGGAATAAATAAAAAAAAGACTAGGAAAGTAGAGATAAGTCATTTCTTCTACTCGAGAATCGTTTTCATTTATTCCAATAAGCACGACTTTAGTAAAGCTTGAATCTTGCCCAAGCCTTCTCAACGACTATAAGAAATTTTATAAAGTAGTCAAAAATGTTGAATACATAGATTAAAAAATATGTAGAAGGCCAATATAAGACTAAAATCAAGGTTGAATTTAGTGTACGGGCTGAACCTTTGTTGCGCGTCCAGGCTGCATCAGGCAGGAGGAAATAGTAGTCCGGGGTGCTGGTGTTACTTGGGGCTTGTGTCCCCCACGTTAGCACCCAAATGTCCTCTCCAAAACCATTCTCTTCAGATTCTGAGTTCGGATTAAACACGTCCGTGTCAGCAGAACCTGCCTGGTCAGCAGCGGTATGTGCTTCGTTGTCTTTGTCTGAAGTACCCTCTCTCTCTGAGTTAGATGTGTCGTACTTTTTCATTTCATTAGCGGAGTTGCTGGAGGAGTTCGAGATGACGAGCGTATGTTTTCCGGGAAAGAATTCTATCAATATTCCCACCCCGGGACCGGGAGGAAAAAGACGGTGCAAGCTGAGAAGTTGAGTCCGATTTTCCCCAGGGTCAACTGGGAAATTAAGATGATATAATTTCATTACAGTGATGCCAACAGACATCATCAACGCATATTATTTATCTAATACTTATATTATATAAATATATTCTAATTATTAACCTTTTTGAAATTTTCATGCAAAAACTTGATCATTTATCTCGAAAATAGTGCGACAATTACCAACGCTTGGTTCAAATGTCAATTACCAGTGTTGCAAGGTGCAAAAATATCCTAATGAAGTCCTGACCTACGACAGTTGGGGCGTGGACTTCACTTTGGGCCACAGGGATGTACATAAGGAAGTCTTCGCGAGAATTGTTGACGTCAATGGGCTTCATCTGAGCGTCGACAATTGAGAGCTGTACGGTTGCCGATTCATTGCCCAGCGTCTCTGTATTGCCACCGAAGCCGTACACTTGATTTTTCCATTTTACCATCTGGCCAAACACAAAATTTTCTTTAAAAATCATATCTAGACAAGTTCTCTTGTATTTTCATACTAAACTATTAATTAAAAATGAATATCATGCTTGCTCAAACTAAATGAATAGCTATCTTCATTTTTCTCTTGATTTTAATGCGTTTCTGAAAACGCCCACAAGACATGCACACTTCTTCATTGTTGGCTTGCGAATTTGATATTCAAACGTGGGAGGCTCTCGCGGCAAACGAGTGGAAACAAACTTGAGGGTGTCTTTACGAGTGCAAATATGTAAAGAATGCTGCAATATTTCCATCTGAATTATCTTCTCTGCATGTGAATGAAGCATAACTGCATAAGGTATGTGTAGAAATAAGCGCAACTAGACCTTGATGCCTATGGAGAGTGGGACGCCCTCTGGCACGCAGCCTTCGTCTCTGTCGATGATCGCGCAGTAGCTCGGGAACTCGTACAACGCATCGCCAACCTTCACCCGCCGGCCTCGCAACTCACGAGCATCAAACATTCCTGAATAAATGCTTATCGTTATCGTGAACATTACTTTATGTTGTTATGATCATATATAGGAGATTCTATGATGTTAAATATGATAATACTGGCAAGTATTTAAGGGGAAAATACGCAACGAGAAGGAAATTGTGGTAAGAAGTCTCTCGCAGAAGTCTTGGGGGTTTGAAAATGTCATTTTTAGAGGCAGACTTTGGGTCCTTTTGTCACTCCAGTTTACTCCTTCTGTTCCGCAGATCAACAATAGCATTGTTGTTCTCATCGAACCAGTCTTGATGATGGCGCTGTCTAGGGCCTAAGACAGTTCTTGATGTTTCCGTCAGCAAATCTCTGAACCTGATCCACAACTCGTTTGGGCCTCCATCGAGCAGTCCCTGTCAGACAGCTCGCTGACCAAGCAGGATCGAAACTTTTGCAGGCAGCACGGCTCAGTGAAAAGACTAACGTTGAAAGACGGGCTATTAGCGTATTTTAGATGGCAAGTTGATGTACCCATTCGGATAGTTGATCGCACCAAAAGGTGGTCTGTCCAGCACTCAGTTCCCCTCAAGGCCCTGGTGATTTTTAAATCCCGAATGTCCCGCTGTTATACGATGACGTAAACAGTGAGATGCCATTTCGTAAACAGTGAGATGCATCCATTTCGTTTTGTATTTGTTTGCCATTCTGAGCGCAGTGTTTGTGATAGTAAGTGCAAACCCGCACATTTGCTGAGCAGCAGCAGACAATTGTTATTTATTTGGCCCACACAGTGCCTACCAAGTACTCCATCCCACTTCGCGTGATCCCAGCCACCACGGGCGTTAAAGTCCTCAAGCAAAATCGATTAATCGTTGGCGGGCACCGAGTGCAGGATGGAGCTGAGGTCGGTCTAGAAACGCTCGCTGGCCTCCTCCGTGCTGGTTAGTGTGGGAGCATACTCACTAATTACTGTGGCATCCCGGTCTCCGCAGATAGGAAGGCGAACCCTCATAAGCCTCTAGCTAATGCCCACAAGCAGGTTCAGCAGCCGCTTGAGCAGGCTTGTCTTAATGGCCTTGCCAACGCCATGCACTCTGTTCTCCCCTGCAGCTCTACCCTTCCAGAAGAAGGTGTATTCTACGGTAGGTTCGGCGAGAGACCCCTCTTCTGGCAAACGTGTTTCGCTAAGGGCAGCGATGTCAATGTTGTATTGCCCAGCTCTCGGCCAATCAGAGCTGTTTTTCCCTCCGGCATTAGGATGTTATCTCTACCAAAGCAAAGTCGTGACATGCCACGCTCCTAAAATGAGCTCTTTTTTAGTTGATTTCTTTTTGATTCGACCGCTAAAAGGGTTGACCCGCCAGTCGCGGTGAACTGGCCGGGTATGTTATAGGGCAGGCAATACCTGAGACGTTCCTTTATGACGCTCCTTTTATAGTCCTCTCCCTTGATTAGGGTGAGGAGTGCTGTCCTAAATATAGGCTGCTCAGTCACCCAGGATGCTGCCGGATGTCTCTACTGCCCCGGATATAGAGCCGAACGACCACTGGTCCATGGGCCACCTTCGTGCAGGATCACAACTACCAATGGTCACCTCCACCTGTTGCTTCGCCACTCACCCATCGCTGCAGGACCATGAGATTGTGGTTCACTATGAACGAACGTGCGCAGAGACACCCGTGCGTGATGGAGATGAAAGTTGGAAGATCGGCGCACAAAAACAATCCCACTCTCTCGTCGTAGGAAGCCTGCATGGATTCAGTGGCTCCAAGAGTCGTTACGCCTGGAGACTTCCTCCGCGGCATTGGATGACCGTGTTGTCCTATGTGCTCCAGCACGCTCTGAGCACTCCACAGTGCTTTGCTGCATCGCCATTTCAGTCGTTGACCTTTATTGAAGGTTTCTTTCGCCTGATCCGCCGAGGCAGTTTCCACATGCTGGGTGAGCAAAGCCCTAGTTCACCATGGGACGGACAGTGACCACAATAGTTACCTTACGTGGGGAAAAACACGTAACGAGAAGGAAATCGTATTCTCTAAATATAGGCAATGTTATTACGCAATCTGCGCTAACAATATATTAGTGAAACATTGTTTGATCCATTGCCACTGCAAGAAACAAGAGAACGACTTCGATAGTCCTGGTGCTGAAGGAAATCTTCTAGGCCAGAATAATTTTTTGAAATTCTCATACTATTGAGATCTATAAATTTATAATATTCTAGGAGATTATCATTGATATAATATAATATAATATAATATAATATAATATAATATAATATAATATCTATTCTGAACTAGAGAGTTGGAATTCTGCTTATCAAGAGTTGGGCTTTAAATTTTATCGAACTTGTTTATGACTAAAGTATGATTATACATATTCATATGATTCAACCATGTTCATCGCTATCTCTACAGTATTGATTGCATTTCTTCGTTTAGTTTCCTAAATTTTGACATTTATTTTTTGTCTTATTGTTTTTTTATGCTGTGTCTTCTCAAAATTTTGTTCTTTCGGCGAAGTTATAAACAAAGTGTAACTTGATGCACGTCTCCTCTATCGTAACTAATTTTCGATGACTCCTGTAGCTCCTGCTCTATAAAGTTTTCTTAACTAAGTTCCCACGAGATATTCTTACCGACAGCCATGGTGACTTCATCAGAATTGACCCTTGCAGGTTCTACTCCGGCGACGGCGCTCCGCAGCAGCGGTCCCTGAACGTTGTCCACGGCCCCGAGCGCTGCCTCCACCTGCGTGCATTCGCTGGCATTTTTAGCAATTGTAATATGCTTCAATCGTCAGATTCGCTAGGTTCTTAAAATTTATTGCGATCTTTAAATTAACTAGTAAAGTAATGTGGTCTTGATATAATCTCATTATTCAAACTATTTGAAAAGCATATTGTGCTCCTGATACTTTGATAATGGCAACATCTAGGCTATGTTCTGCAAAGTTTTGCAGGTGTGCTCGAAGTTTGGTGTCATCGATACCACCGTGTTTTATCTGCTTCTTTGTCAATACGAACTTTGTATAATGTGTGGCTTTGATAGATATTGGTTGGTGGACATCATAGCCACACATTTTTCAGTTGAGCTAACAGGATTTTGTATTCTATATAGCTGGCGGTGAGAGAGTTGCATGGGTATGCTGGGGCTAAAAGATCGTACATAAGCACCTCTGATTTGGTAGAATTTTACAATGTATACTTGGGTTATTACTCGGCAGAAATTAAATAATTGAATAATTAGGCATTGGTAGATCATATTTCAAGGGAGACTGTCTATGTATAGTATAGTCATGCCCGCTTTAACATTCTGCATGAGCCTATTGTTTACATGTGTTCATTAATAGGCGAAGTTCTTGCATGATTATTCCTGGAAAATCCTATAAAATTGAGTTATAGATTTAGTGCGAATGCTGTAGCCTACATTTTTCATAGGTTACTGAAGCTTTCAGTGTCACAACAATTGTTGTCGGTTTAGTGGACTATTGTGTGTATAGTTGGATGTTTCGATTAGAGAACCATATTTATATATATATATTTTTTGTGATCTTTTAACCAATCTTTTATCATGAACTTATCCAGAGGTATTTGAGGTATTTCATCCATTCTAACGTTATGTTGAGGCCTGTCATACCTTTGTTAGGAAGGCGGTTTGTAGCTGTGTGCCTATGTAATGCCCATTGAGAGATGTCCTCGGGCGTAGCTATCATGCTTTCATGCAGCTTGATGCTGTGCTATAGTAGGGGTGTTTCGCGTGGCGCACGCCAGGAATGAACTGTGAGATCTTGGATACGACTTGTGGTGAGAAACGTGCGCTAGTTTGGTTTAGCTGCTCTATTTCCTGAGTTTATAACGTCTTTTAATAGAGTAAAGAATCCACTTTGTGTCAAAAGAAAATTTTCTTTAGAGCTTAATTTGCTTTGTAGTAAGATTAGCGTTGGCGAATTTGTATTTGAATTTTATTAGAGGTAACGGAAGCAATTTTTGGAAGGTGGTTTCACGGTATGATTTGTCTGGTTATAGATGAATGATGGAGAAGGTTCGGTTATTGCGGATAATTCTATCTGCGTATATTGTGCTTCTGTGGGTGAGGGAATAGGGAGGTGGGAGTCTATGTGGGTGAATTGAAGCTGAAAAGTGATTGGTTGAGACGGAAGGCGTCTATACTGATGTCTCACACGTGCATGGACCGAATGATCATTGAAGATGCCTTAGATTGAACAACCCACCTTCTGAAAATTTTCATTCTATTGGGTCAATTCTGTATCTGTTTAACATGATAAGAATAATATCTGACCTTGTCATTAGCTTGAGCAGCTGCAGGGTTTTTGTGGGCCAGATTCTTGAGGTGCTGCGCGCATGAGATGCCATCGGTGGTGTTCAAGACGTCCTCGTACTCGAGATTGAAGAGCTCTTTTGTGAGATCTACTCCGTAGTGTTCGACTGCACATTGCATCGCTCTTAGCGCCAAGCACAAGTGTTGTTCAGATTTCAAGAAATTAGATATTTCTGTGGTGTCGTTTGTGGAGTTGTATTGGCTCACATCCAACAGGATAGCAAGTGACTGGATTTGCTCCATGTCCAGCGCATCAAAGGCCGCACTTTGCGAAGGCTTCGAAGTGACAGCGGACGGAGATTCGTCGGCACGGATATGGTCAAAAAACGCGTAAATGACTGAAACAAAAGAATCATAAAGAGAGTGTGGAGGTTCTTGACTCGCACCAGGTGTGACTTCATTATTTATTTTCATGTTCGACGCGCCAATGTCATGTACTGTTTGAAGAGTTTCATTCGTGAAGGGAGTGTCTGTGAGGCACAAGAGCAGTTTCGTCCAGCATATGGTTTCATTGTAACATTTTTTTAACACTTGAGACGGGCCACTTGCGCCCATTCTGGTCTTCCCTGCGACGTTTTCATTAACACCCTGAGGGAAAATATAGTTGCAGTTCCGAAATTAATAATCGCGTAAGCATCACAATATTACGACATATATGGTTATATTTGAGAACTTAACTTCAGTGCACATTTCATCGCACAACTACCATTTATTAACAAATTTTTACTTTCTTCACATGCGCATTTGTTTATGCAACGCATCTTTAAGGCTCGATTTAATTTGCCCTACAGACACAAAGTTTATTACGAACTTTGACGAGGGAGGCGACGACGCCGGACGCCGTCCCCGCCATGGCGGAGGCCTGAGCTGCCGACGACGACGAGCTCGTCGACCCCGCCAGGGACACAATAGAAGCCACGGCCGCGTCCTGTGCCGTCAAAATTATTTCTTAAGTAAATTATAGCATATATAAAATCGTGCATGTGCCGTCAAAATTACCTTTAAGTAAATCAAGTAAATTATAGCATAGATAGAACCGCGCATTAAATACACGAAATAAATCGTTATGACTGGGGCGCACGAAAAGCGATCTCTTGAAGCGAATGAAAATTTTCGAACAATCGATCTCGAGACCGAGATGTTGGGAATATTTAGTAATAACATAAAACATTCGTATTGAAATCAGTAAAATGTTCGTCAAGCGAGAGTTGGCTACATCACGCAGAACACTTGACTGGGGCTAAAGATGAGGCACTTTAGTATATAAGGTATAGTTGCCTGCTATAGGTATAACACGGCAGTGCACACTGCACATATCACTTCCCAGCGCTTCAAGATAATTAATGTCTTCAAATTTATTTTTAATTTTTTTGCTCGCTCGAAATCTAAGCACACGACAAAAATCAACAGAACGTCGAGGGTCAATTTAAATCACAGTCCCCTATTTATTTATTGTTAATTGCAGTTAGCGCTGATTGGTTAACATTGCTATTAATAAAATGCAGTGGAGCAAGTAAACGTTATGTCCTACCTCCGCGGTAGCAGGCAGCGGATACGCCACAGCCCCCAGGATGCTTGTCACCTGCACGCAATATTTTGAGAACTCATTCCTTGTGATGATAACTGATCTCAACGAAGATAAGTTCAACAGGTCTGAGTTACAGTGTTAATATGCCTGAACAATATTGGCAAAATGTTCTAATTGACTATAGCAACTCAAATATATTAGCAGATAATTCAAATACTACTTGTGAAAGAATAAAAGCGTTCCCTTGTCTCCATAATGTGCTACAAAATTACTGTGCGACATAAGCTATACTTCGTCAATGCATGCAGACTTCAATAAAATTTTCAAACAGTGTCCAAAATGCAATCAAAACTTCTGGTAAGCTACAATATTCAAGTATGTAACAATTAATTAAGCTTTCGGAAGCTATAACTCAACCTGGACGACGTCATCCATAGAATCCTTGGCAAAGTTGTCGACTGCGCCCACCATCTTGCTGTTCTTGTTCAGCGATCGCTGGCGAAGTGCCTCCATTTCTTCCGCCGTCAAAGGCCCTAACAATAAAATTGATTTGAACAATGCATTCACGTGACTGGAGCCCATATGCTTGCCTTGGTCCATTTGATGATATGCGATTTGACACCAAATTATTTTTAAAATCTTTAGAGCTCGGAGAGAACCGAAGAAGGTAATTGAGTGTGGAATGGTTCGCTGCGTTCGCCAATAAGTCTAAGATATTTACAATTGACATGAACATCGAACAAGAGATCTAAGTTGTTCGTATGATAGTGATAATAGCTACCTCTTGAAAGGCCACATATGCGCCAAAATATGCACCTCTGTTGGCAATTAAATACGAGCCTCAGTTCCGTCGAGCCTTGTTTTCGGACTTCACACATCCGAAAAACTCGAAGGTATTTTCGAGGAGCGAACCACGTGGTTCAAAGAAGGTAAAGGAATATATTTCAAAAGATGGAAATTTCAACAAAAATTTAAATTCAAACGTGTATGAAAATCTGTTATTTTGTATACCATATCCTCACCATTCTATCGATTGTAGAGGAAACTTCATTAGTTTCCAACATCTGTATTTTCACTGATACTCCTCTCGATTATGTAACGAAGCTATAGATTATAGTTAAGGTAATTATTCGAAATTTAAGTTAGAAATGCAACGCAAATTCTGAACGGTGATAATTAAACTTTGCTGACCAACTTTAGATCCCGGCAACGCCAGACCCTCCAGAGACGCCTCTGCTTGCAACAGCTGCCCGACCTTCAGTTGGTCCAAAGCAGCCACAGCTTTCTCGCGAACTTCACTATGGAATGAATATACAATATCGAAGTAGTCAATATAATATTTTTGTCCTAAATCATATTTTTCTTTTATCTAATTACCTACTTCTTCATTTTCCTTTCACCTTTGATGTATGCTATTTGTACCTTGGCTATGGCAAATTTTATTCAGTCCTCAAATCTGTACTATCTTCCTAAGCCGTTATGCACATGATAATCATTTAAGAAACTATCAATATTTCACCATATTTATCTTATAGAACAAAAGAAAAAGAGCACTCACTCTTTCTCGTACTGCTCGACCTGCTCCACCGATGGCAGCTTCGTCTCGATCACGTCAATGAGATGCTTGGCAGCTGAGCCCTCCTCGTCTGCCACCTCAGCGTACAGCTGGAGGGCGGATGCGGCGGGTAGGATCATCTTCTGACTTGGTGATGGTCCAAAACTTAGAGGGAGCTTCTTCTTGTTCACCACGCCTTAGGAGAAAATAATGCACGTTATTTTTATATAAATAAACATTGTATCTGTGTGAAACTGGGACATTTTTAAGTCTGTCTGTTGTTTTGAAGTTCTGCTCAACTTTTTTGCCCTTAATAATTCTGCATAAACATACTTCAGCGAAGCTTTTAAATATTTTTGCATTTATCTATCATAGTTGTTATCAAGTGGAAAAGACAATTTTTTACGCAAAATCGTTGTCTGTTTCCTTAGATCGTATTTTGAACATAAATACGCAATATAATACTTGACCTTAGAAGCATCCAATGATAAGGCGGTGCAGAAATTATCCTTCGCTACAACTATTTCTTATATCATCACCTACTTATAATGAAAGCGCACTAATTGATGTTTCAGTAGTACCGTAGTAAGTGTACTTGGTGATGGAGCTGCCCTCAGGGTCCACCCAGTCGCTGCAGGCCACCACGATCGCCTGTACCAGCGCCGTGATGCCTGCACACACAAATCCTTAATTCACAAAACGTCTGAATATACAGGAGTTAGGCAAAATAAATTAAATACTTGACAAATCCACAAAATATATTTTAGTGTAGTGTAGGTTCACCTTTTTTAGCAATTACAGCCTCAATTTTCCGAGACATTGATTCATATAAATTGAGAATTGTTTTCAAAGGAATTTTAACCCATTCTTCAGTTAGAACTCCCTCCAGCTCTTTTTAAGACGACAGCGGCGGGAATCAACTTCTGACTCGCATCTCTAATATCGACCATAAATGCTCGATAATATTCAGGTCTGGTGGCCAAATGAGATGCTCGACTTCATTAGAATGTTCCTCGTGTCATTTTTTAACAATTTTAGCTGTATGGATCGGGGCATTATCATCTTGAAAGTTGAAAGGTGACGTTCCACTCCGGGAACAGTGTTTGAACCATTGAATGAACTTGGTCCTTCAAAATTCCTAAATAATCACGGCTGTAGATTCTTCCATGAAGAGAAATTATTGGTCCGCCGAATTTCCAAGAAATAGCCCCTCAGACCATCACAGATCCCCCACCATCTATAGGGTTGGCAGGAGGCAGTCGGGATTAAATGGCTCTTTCGGCTTTCCCCAAACGTAAACTCCATTTTAAACGCTTTGAAGATCTTTCATAGAATCCAGATCTGTGCAGCTCTCGGCGGACAGTCTTTAGGGAAACTGGGTTCTGTAGGTGTCCATTGAGGTCTGCAGTAATTTGAACAGCCGTGGTCTATCGATTGTCCCTCACAATTCGATTTAGGTACCGACGGTTTCTCTCAGGAAACTTCGACTTTCGGCCAGACCTGTGCTTTGCTGAGTACGTTTTTCCTTCTCTTTCAAAATCAGTCATTGCTTTTGAGACAGTACCTCTAGAAACGTCAAGCATTCGGGAAGCTTCTGTCACACTAGCACCTAGTTGGTGCCATACTGGCAACAATAATTTGTACTCTATGAAAGTTAGAGAGGTTTATCATTTATAAGGTATAGGTTAGGTTATAGACATAAAAATTTACTAAAAATATTTGTGCACGGATAAAATATCAGTTAGCAACTTAGCAGTAACAATAAAACATAAAAATATGTCACGTTTTCATTGTTTATAACATATTCAAAAATTACGATATCAAAATTTCAGGCGTTTCCCTTATTTTGTCTAACCCCTATACACTTTGCAGCAAAAGTTTGAACTGATATTCAAAGAACCAGTAACTTAAAAATGGAAGCGGCTTGCGTGTGACAATTACGACTATTTCTGTTACTTAAAATGGGCCCCTTTAGCTCAAAATCGACCCGATTCTTGACTGACTTCAACCTCTCTAAGAATGCTTGAAAAAACCGTGCAAAGCATTGCAAACCTTTGAAACAGAATAAAACTGCCTTTCTCTTCATAAATTTCTGATGAGACAACTCAGGAAATGAGATCCTGAGTGATTTACGGAAATTACCATTAAATATGCATGGAAAGTAAGAACAAGATAATTGGACCAATATAAAGTGGAATGAAATGCAAGCATAATGCAATAAATTCAGTATAGATTTCGATTTTAAGCCGTGCTTACCGTCTGGAGAGATGTCGTCCACTATGTAGCATGATCCGTTCTCCGGTGCTTGGTTCACGATGATGCTCAACGAAGCGAAGCCTGAGGGTAATGAATACAAATCAAATAAATAATCCTCAGATGAAACTAATCCTTGAATAAATAAAGTATTTGGGTGAAATGAGTTCATAAATATAGTGTACGCTAACAATGAATGATTCCCGAGTTCAGACTCGTTGCTCTAAGAGTTAACAACAACGACTGGCATAAGAATTTCGGTACAAATACAAACACATTTATGTCACAATTTAAGAAGACTGGCATATTAAGTATGCCTAAAAATTTTATTTGCGAATTCAATTCAATCAAACAAAAAACAATTCAATTTCATTATAAAAATCGTTATAGATTTTTCTTCGAAATTTCATGTCATGCTTCACTTCTAAATACAAAAGCAACTTGCCAGGCGTGGGGTCAGAGGAGTGAACGCCGCTCACTGCGATGGTGAACTGCCGGTATTCGCTGAAAGTCTCCCAGAACTTGTCAAGGAGAACTAAATTGCTTTGGTCCAGCCCTGAGTTAGGATATCATGTTAAAATGAGTAGTCAGAGGCAAACAAAGGTCTAATTATAGAATGTTCAAAGACGTGCAACAAGGATAATTCCAGGCTTGAAGGGCAAGTCCTATGATAAAAGATTAAAGATTATAAGGCTTCTAATTAAGCCTATGTTATCGACGTCTGCGCGGGGACCTCATTGAAGTATACAAGTATATACTCATGGACATGGTTTATACAAGGTACCCGATTACCCCGAATTACTAGAGTAAGTAGAATTTGAAACAAGAACCAACACTAGAGGCCACGGCTATAAACTAAAAAACTGCTTCGCAACTTATCAACGTGACAACATTTCTTCTCGCTTCGAATCACCGACATGTGGAACAGCCTACCCTGAGTTAGGATATCATGTTAAAATGAGTAGTCAGAGGCAAACAAAGGTCTAATTATAGAATGTTCAAAGACGCGCAACAAGGATAATTCCAGGCTTGAGGGGCAAGTCCTATGAAGAAAGATTAAAGATTATAGAAGGCTTCTAATTAAGCCTATGTTATCGACGTCTGCGCGGGGACCTCATTGAAGTATACAAGTATATACTCATGGTTTATACAAGGTCCTCGATTACCCCGGATTACTAGAATTTGAAACAAGATCCAACACCAGGGGCCACGGCTATAAACTAAAAAAACTGCTTCGCAACTTATCCACGTGACAACATTTCTTCTCGCTTCGAATCACCGACTTGTGGAACAACCTCCCCGATTACGTCGATATATCATTCATTCATTGGCGCTACGAGTATGAACGCGTTCAAGAACAGACTAGATAAAGCCATGGAAAAATATATGTTCAGACTTGAAATGCCTAGCATTATATCGAACCCGGTGGAAGTCTAGTAGCTATTTCAAACTATTATAGTCAATCCTGAAAAGTTCCGGTCAAAGGACACGATTTTAGATACCTATTCTATGAACTAGTCAAGCAAAGAACAAGAATCGGCAACAAGCCACATCAGGCCTACTCTTCAGCGCGGACATCACTGTGTATGTTATGTAATTATAAATTGACAAATTGCATAATTAACGGATCGATATCGCAGATAAAGCACGACATGATTAATAGATATTGTAATTATTTGCGATCAGAACTTGAGGACCCATACCTGTTGTAGTGTTCGTGTCCACCAGGTCCAGCAGAACCTTCTTCTCAGGCTCCATAACATCGACCACGCCATGCACCTGCCAGCTGTACGACATGCCTGCCAGGCAGCCGTTGCCATCTGGCGGTTTTTCACTGTCGGGCTAAACAAGAGAAATTTACAGTGCTGAGCCATTTCGGAAAGTAAATAAATCGTAATGGTAACGTAATAGTTTGTGCGCGCACTTAAAATATTACGCACTGCAATGTTAATTTTGATTTTTGAACTTGATTTGAGTTTGATATTAAATCAGGAAGATCTTCCAAATGACACATGACAAATTGAGTTCCTTTGTCAAATTCGGTTTAGTTGCATAAGTTTTAGCATCAAATGAATTCAGTCCAATTCTTTTTGTTAAAAAACTCACATAGTGTCATGGACTTCAGGACAAGATAATTCTAATTTGAACCAATCGCTATTAATTGATTATTGATAATAATTTAGAACCTAAATAAATTTAAAAGTACACTGAAATTCAGAAGAACAAGTTTACACATGTTCAATTCCACTGCTAAAACAATTAATTATCAATCTTGAATTGCAGATTTAACCACTAAAGTCATTCTAAGTCGAGCATGCAATTAACTGCTCGATCGAGAAGACCTCTAGTATGCCGGCGTACATCTTGCTCATCTCTCACCCTCCGGCTACGTGGTGATGGGTCTCGGTGTCTTCAGTGGCTGTAGAAGTGCGGTTATCGTTATTGAGGTGCCTCCTTTCAACGTTATTATTACTATCCTTTTGAGAACATGGACTATAGCTTACGGGCATGTCACACTCGGACTGCAGGATGAGGCGGTTGGGGCTGACGAAGAGGTTCCCACTTGGTCGCGGATGGCAAGCCTGGGGTGGCAGGCACCCCAAGATTAAAGGGGGCGGTGACCCCTGCACTACTTTCACTTTCACTTCCCCCGCTTGCCGTCTGCCGTCCACGCTTACTGCCTGCGCATCACATATTCAAGTTTATATTACCGCTCCTGTCAATTTTATTTTTGATGAGTAGTGTTTATTGAAGACATTATGACATTATGAAGACATTATGAAGACAGTAAAAAACAGCACTAGCTTATGAAAAATGGGTAATTTAACAATTTTTCCCTCTATGTATTGAGAAATATTCTCTCATTCAGATACTGATAAACATTCGGAGCCGTGTTCCAATATCCAGTTGGTAACTGACCACTACTTTAAGAACCACGTCCATTGGGGCGCCCTTGAATTCAGTGGCGGCCAGATCCAGCACAGATCCATCGCCTGATGGCTTCGAGATCCTTTCTGGACCTTTACCAAAGCAGCCTGGGCTCGAAGAAGATCCTTTGGATGCATCATCAGGCCAATTTTCACCAGCCTTCTTGCACCACCACTCGTAGCTAGCGAGCTATTGGGATAGAACAAACCTAATCACTGCCAGCGAGAAGGTTTGTGGTCTTCCAGCACCAACAGTCGTGTTTAGAGTCGAATCACTTATACGCATCAGCATTCGTTGAAACTTAAATGGTCGATTTTAACAGGTGATCTACATTTACTCACAATTGTTTCATTTTCGTTTAATATTTTTTTTCTAACACAAGTGATTCCACTTTTAAAACTCTGCCAATTTATGAAATTTATTAAGTGCATATGCTGTAGAAAAAATAGGATTGACATTATTTTACAATTCTACCTGAGGACGAAAATATTACGCAATTCCAGCTCAGCACCGTTCATAAAAAGTTCATTTAGCAATAAGTCAACACAAACTTTAAAGTTTGTATATTATAATCATACAAATTATCCGACTTTTTAGACTACTACGAACATCTTTGTTCTTTGATAACAAACGTTGCCTTTGATAACAGACCACGTTGTGGGATATGGGATCATTCCTTTGCACGGTTCGTACGTTAAATGACAAAGAAATGTCACACTTCATAATCAGGCTTGTAACAAAATTCCAAATTATTTTCAGACCCGTCCGTCGGCCTGATCGTAGTCGTAGCTGGCAGCGGAGGCGTCGAAGTGGATCCTGCCCCTCGTGACCGCAGTGGCGCCTCCTCTCACAGCGCCCACCACGAGGCTCGTCGACACCACCTCTACAAGGGCGCTCGCCCTGCCCGCTGACCACAGGCTCTCCCCCGTCGTATTGTCTGCCCATAACAAATGATCTCTTCCACACCAGTAGGTACTGTCGTACGTGACGGCTAATTGTGAAATGATAAAACCAAGAACACCCTGTCATGCTCATAACAATAAATCTTCATCTACAACACATATAAATTTGTTCCTATGCCGATGAATACTTTAACTGACCGTAGAGCGTGACATTGTAATACACTGCTACTTCGTACAGCCCGAAATCAAGCGTGTGAGGCGGGATGCCGATGCTTGTGTCTGACGTAGTTACGTTGTCCATTTCAATATTCGATGCGAAAGCCGTGTTTCTGTCGAACAATAAGCTGTTTTCGGGCAAAGTTTTTGATCCCGAAGCATTTTGAAGTTCAGCTCGGAATTGGTCAAGTTCCGTTAGATTCTTCTCTATGCTTGGGGAAATCACCCAATCTGAAAAGTTGCAAATGAATAAATTTATTAATTAATTTATTTCTGCAAGATATATGCAGAGGAATAAGATGTACCCTAAATTGAAATAGTTATTAGTCTTCTCTATAAGCTAGAAGCCTATCTGGGCCTGCAACAACTCATCTCATTTCAACTCCAGCAATAATGTCCTATTGTAACTGAATCCCATTAATCTCTAATGAAGTTTAACTATTGCTTATAATACATAGAAAAATGTCCCTTCATTACGCACCAATTGAAGTAACGGTCCCTGGGTCACAGTCAGCAACTACCGTTGACCGCACCCTAGCGACGGCCGAACGCTTCACCGAGGAGATGGTGGCGTTGGCGGCGGTCTTGGTCCTGACGGAGATGCTGCGACATGGTCCCTGCGGTACTACTTGACTTGTGGCCTGTGAGGTCTGCAGCCCCACCGCCGTGTAGAGGGTGGCCTGCACCTTCACCAGTGGTGACCGCGGGGTGAACAGGTGCTGAAATATGCACGCCACGGTACCGACAAAATTATTGACATCGTCAATTCAAAATGAAGCAAAGTTTTCTTTGCCTTGCATGGCAGTAAATATTAGACAGTTTTAGCTGGAGCATAACGAGAAACTGTCGTGCTCTATCACACTTCATCTTGCTATTTTCTGTAATAGAAATATAGTTCAGCGCAACACAGATGAGTTACTACGTCAATTCAGAGTAACACAGGTGACGAAGATGTATTTTCGTTATTAGGCTGTTAGTATTAAAGATTTTACTCCCAATGTTAAATGAATTATTGAAGCGACCTTAGCGAATAAATTGAATGATTCTATAGACATGCCGACCAACTTTATTGGTTTGAATTTACCGTTATTCTGGCAGAGTAGCCTTCAGACTGCCACTCGACTGCTCCTGGAGGAGAGGCATCGCATCCTCCGACTCCCTTCCACCCCAGAAGAGGGAGCCCTTCTCCTCTGTCCAGGATCACGCACGCCCCCATCACCTGGGGTGGGTCATCAAAATGGGTCATCAACAAATATAATTGACCAACTACAGATTTACAGCATAATCACAATTGGGTATTAAATAGTGGATAAGAGGTAATTTATAAAAGGAGAGATCATTTATTAAGCGTGTACAGAATTAGTATGGTAGCCAGCACCTATGGTGTTAGGAAGAGTGGTACCAACTATGCCTGTCTTGAAAAAGGCCCGTTAGGAGTGGGCTATGTTCTCGTATGTACTAAATAACCCCTCAGCCATTTATACATAGGAAAGTGTACAGACCTCCGGCACCATAACGCCCACGACCAGGGGCATGCCGGCCCTCAGGAAGGCTGGCTGTGTGAGCACCGTGATGGGCGCGAGGGGCCGCCGCACCAGCACCTCCACAACCGCAGGCAACGACGCCCCTCCTTTCCCCCCTCCTGAGCTCAGGCTCAGAGTGTATTTGCCTTCCTGAGGGAACATTACTTTTACTTATTACATGAAGGTGCAGGTGCACCCGGTATTATATGAAGCTTGTATGGTTACTTGCGTTCAGGCTACTTCATTGCTGGCACATGCAAGGAAAAGCAATGACCGCAGGCTGAGAGTGTACTTGCCTCTCTATTATTTGACTCGCTATCATACTAAGAATGGACGATGATTGGCGTTTGTGATAGAACAATTGTTCTTGAGATGATAGAGAACACTAAACTGAAGCATGCTCCTCACTCAACTTCCTGCAGCAACGCGAGCCGATGGTCTAATGGAACTCATTTACTACTTTTCGTGTGATATGATTAAATGGTTCAATAACTGGGTAAACTTGCAATCCTTTTTACTCAAGGGCGATAAATGTAAAATCGATGCCGAAGCTAATGATGGAATGCAAAGTAGAGGATGCAAAGTAGAGGATGCAAAGTAGAGGATCTCATCAGGTCAGTTGCAATAAAGCAAATAGATTAGGAATTTGCTTGCCAATCCGAGCAATTCTATCCGAAGCATTTCGCCCACCTGCTTGAACGAGATGATAAAGGGGAGTTTAGGCTGCGACTTGCGTTCTCCCTGGAAGGTTAGGTTCCAGTAAGTGGCATCGGTCGAGGAGGAGTTGGTGGTGACCAAGAGGTTGGTGTTGGGCGGCGCCACAACGATGCGGGTGCCATCACCCGACGCACTCAACACAGAGGAGATGGAGGACCCGTTCTCAGCCAGCACTGATACTTCACCAACTTTCGCGCGATTCCGCACAGAGATCTGTAGGGGAAAATAACAAACTACACCTAGAACAATGAAATAATACTTTACGCTTAGGTATAATTCAAAGTATTCAAGTGGAAAACCTTACTTTATTGTAATAATTTAACAATACGAGTATGAACCCTGATAATTCGGGCTCCATTTTCGAATTGTAAGCACAATTTTGTTAAACTCTGGAATAATCGTAATTAATTTTAAAAACTCGTATAACTCAACTTCAAACCTGTATGCGAATTGTACGCAATAAATGCCTTCCTATAGAAGGCATTTATATATTCTTATAGAACATTTTCCCCTTTGGCTTCTAAAAGTTATATCAGAAAAATACTCGTAAGATAAGATTTGATATGGGGTGCGAATAATTACATTGTGTTTGATGTATGCTCATTTAATTATATTTTTTCTATCTCATACTATGATTCAGTTTTCGAATGCCATTTCGTAATAAGACTTATATTGGAATGTTGTCATTGCGCTTCTCCCGAAAAAAAATATATTATTTCACCTCAGCTGAAGTCTTCTGCTCCGAGAACGGATTTCTGAACGTCGCTGTGATTGTGATTTCTGCCGGCGACACGAACGTTCTAGTTACGTTAATCGTTGTTTCCCCAGCCGCTGGATTCAAGACTTGCGAAACCGTGGAGTTTGGGATAGAATTTAAACCCCAAACGATGGTCACGTTCAGTTGGTACGAAGTCGTGTACAGCGACACTCGGGGGATGGCCACAATGAATGTCGCTGACGCAATGCCTGACAAAACACGGGTGCAATCGATATTATGATACATTTTCAAAAAATACATAAACTAAAACACTTGATTTGTTTTGCCATTAGTAATTATTATACGAGCATTTTACTGTTATATTATTCGAATAATGGATAGCTTACAATATATACATGTTTATGTAACAATTGAAATGACTATCAATAAAGATACTGTGCTACTCACACAACAAACTAAAAATATGTGTTCAAAATTAAAATCAAAAATTTTTATTTTCTCAGCCCTGAAGCAGCAGAAAAAATTACTCTGAGTTTATCACTAAGTTCAAACCAGAATGTTTACCTGGTGGAATAAAGACAATATTTTTCACAGGTCGGATAGTGGCCACGTCTGGCGTGAGAGGCGCGTAGACTGTGACGAGTTTGCTTTGTTGTTTCTTGTCAACGCATAATCCTGCATTTCGAAATTGGGGCTCCGTCGTTGAGTTCGAGTCGCGTGCACTTTGTTGGAATTCTTTGCTTGAAGCGAAACTGAGATTATGGAAGGATATGGAGCAGCCGTCGCGTGTGATGTCTAGTACGACAGGATGCGTGCCTTCTGCTGTGATGTTGAACACAGAGAACCCGATCACTGGTCCAGCATCTGAAGAAACATTTACAGAAATATCGTCATGATGTTAGACATTATCAGTTTGTAGTTCTTTCTTCAAGGTTAACTAAGCGTATTAATCAATCAGTTTATTATGTTTCAAGCAGAAGACCGATCACCATTGTAGAATAAGCCATCTAATTTTTAACTTGGGCAACTGCTAAACAAACTATCACCTATCCATGAGTTTTAATTTTTACCAAATCCTTTACTGCAAGTCAATTGCGAAGCAAACAGCTCACGTTATTGCATGACGCCGACCGATTAGCCATCGATTATCTAACTGTCGCCGTATCTTTGATGATGAATTTTTGAGTATAAGCTTCGTGATCATACATGGCAATTGCAGGGTTATGTTTACACAGGCAAAGGTTTGAAGTGCTATTCACAGATCCCTCTATCACTAGAGAACCAGCAACAGAGGTCACTTGTGTTGACCTTAGAAAACAAGACGATATTTCTGAGCTGATACGAGGCATGAAGTCGGTCGTGCATGACGTCATTCGAAGCCTCGTGTCATAGCATTGAAATGTACACTAAAGAATACATTTTATCGAAGCATTATATTTCAAGGCATATTAATTTAAAAATCGTGTAATTATGCCTTTCACCTTCTGTAATTCGAAATTGTTCAGCATTGTATTGTAGAGAATGGATCGTTTTTTACCACTTTCGTGACAAATATTTATAGCAATTACAGTGCAGAACTGCAAATACTGAAGTAGCGACAAGCTCGCCAGTGGTGAGAGGCGAGAGCTCGCCAGAGTTGGACCAATAATGGATGCGATTGAAAAGATTAAAATTTATGATGTTTTCTTATATTTTCCTACAGTGTTCATAAGTCTACGATTATCCTTCTAATGTGTTTCCAAATTATTTGACAAACATACGAGATGAGTTGAAAATTTGCTCTGAAATTGAAGGCGTCATTACGTTGGTATTTTTTCGTTAAATCTACACAAGCAAATTGTTGACTGGCTGACGGTGCAGCTTACTGTGCAGCTCTGCTGGGGTATAATTTCCAAGGCTCGGTCGAACAGCCGCCTCTTGGTTCAGCGTGCAGTTCTACTTGTCATGTTAACTCTACAATTTTCCATGCATGGACCAACGTTTAATGCCGAGTTTATTAGTGTTAATGCGCCGTTATTAGTATTAGTACCGCTCATCAGTATTAATGCGTATTAGTGTTAATGCGCCGAGTTTAATGCCCTTTGCAGCAACTAATCATAAATAAACATGCATATACCATCAATCCCAAATTTAAATTAAAAATAAGATTCCTCACGAGGCTTAGACGGACAACATCGATAACAGGTATAAATGATATCATGTAAATTAAATCTTGACAAAAAATACTCACATTGATACCTGACGTTCTGAACAACCATGTCGTCAATTGTGACGACCAAGCTTTGCGTTCCCTCCTGTAGACTGTCACTCCACTCCACGGACGTGACGGCACCAAGGAGCATTTCGTCTGGAGAGACGTGCCACTCCATGGCGGCTCCCGCGTGCCGTGTTGTGAGGAACAGAACTACGCCACATTATCGAGTTGTAATTATTACAAATTAAGATTCTTGAAAATGCCCACAAATTCAATCTTGAAAGATCTTTCAAATCGAGAATATTTCAAGTCCGAGAACTCAGTTGTAGGGCTACAACGTCGGAGAAGATAACGTGTACATTATATGGTGCAGGGTTTGTTAAACTTCTGAGTTCGGTTTCACAATAGTGCGGAAAAGTTGTGGATGTGCAAGAAAATTATGTGTACAAAATTTTAGAAAACTAGATTGATTCTTTCATGTTTTGAGCGTCATGTAAAATGAAATTGATGATATATGAAAAAAACATATATTTGGAAGTTTTCACAAAAATCCAGCAAGTATTTATTGAGGTAAGAATAGGCAAAAATCAACATTCAAACGATGGGCAGACGTTGAAATTATCTAAGTACAATTAGGCATACATTACGAAAAGAATTGAAGTATTAAAAACGAGAAGTTTCATCTATGATCATGTATTAATTTATTTATAAACCCATGTTTACTCAGGACCATCGCATATATGAATATTATATACATAGCCTGGCCACGCAGTGTTTTTCTTATGTTTAACTTGATTCTCATAAATTTTACTATCCAGCTAACGGCCACCATCTTCCAGATATTGTTTTCAAAACATGAGTATTCTAAATGGTATGTTATGCTAACCTCGAGGAAAATAAACTTTCTTCTTTATGTACCTCCATTACTCTTTTATTTTACGTCAAAACTGCTCAATCGGTTCTGCCTCACCCTGTGTATGTTTTTTTCATAATTTTAATTCATGTTTATTTTAGTTTACTTTATTATTATTATTATTAATATTATTACTTTGTTTCATTTTTTACTTTTAATTCTTATTTTTCAATTCATTTAATTTAATTTATCTCCTTTTCATTTTTTATTTTGTTATTATGTATTTGTTTATTTATTTTATTATTATTACTATTATTTTTTTTTAATTTCTTTTCTTTTGTGTGTGTGTGTTTTTTTTCTTTTCAGAGATTTTCAGAGTTGTTAGGCACAAGTTAAACATTATTTAGTACCTCATGGATTTAGTTTCTAGTACTCTCATAAAAATAAATAAAAAGTATAATAAAGACTTAGTGACAACTTGAGCCGTGAGGGACATGCATGGGAGACAACCCCACATCCTCAACAAACAAACAAACAACAACAACAAACTTCGCATCATTTGTAGGTATACATGTTGATTTGAGAATGTATCTACAATTTTCATAGTTAGCAACTAGGATGAGTTCTTCGTTAATAAAATTAAATTAAGCCGTGACATCGTCCAAATAGCTCATATAACTTGAAAATTAAATGTTACTTGCAAGTAGTACGGTGCCGAAGGAGATCTTGCAGTAATTAAGGGCAGCATAAATTCCTTCAATAAACAGATTGAAATATTGATTGAAAGAGCCACAAGTTCAAGGGCAGCTGCGAAGATTGCATGAAACTTGTAAACTAACTGATAAATTCAGCCAGAGATGGCACTTCACACAGCTGCATATACTGTATATTAAACTAAACTCGACGTGTATGAATATACAATACGTGAGCGGTTTTGCGGGATGGCTGAACTAATTTCCAAGACTTGGTGTGAAGTTATTTGTTGAACTTTACCATAGGTTCTTTCGGATTTTATTCGAGCTAAATATACGATTTTTAGATTATTCTGAGAATTTTTTGGGATTCATGCAAACTTTTACCTAATTTGTGAGGCCAGAGTGAAGAAAGAGATAGGCAAGATCGAAGCCAAAGTGTTTCACTAGCGGAGCAAGTGTGCAGTCAATTAAACCATAAGTACAGTCTGAGTGAGGATAGAGTGAGACCAAAGTGAAACCGGAGTGACGTCGGAGTGAGGGCAGTGTGGAGCATGCTTCAAAACTAAAATGAATCCAGAGTCGCGAAAATAAAGTAAAAGTGGAGCCTTGTGAAACATTAATGAAACTAAAGTGAAGCCGCTGCGAAAATATTGTGATTTCATAGTAAAGTTGCAGAGAAGCGAGCGTGAAATCATAGTGGAGCACGAATGAAGTCAAGAAAGTCAGAGTGATATTAGCGCCATGTGAAGTCATGACATGAGTGAAGCAAATGTGAATTCAAATGAACCTCTATGGTGAATTGATGAGGTGAAGTCAGAGTGAAGCTATCGTGAAATCCTAGTGGGGCTAGACCGAGTGAGCCCACAGTGAAGTTAACGTGAAACCGGAGAGAGGCTAAAGTGAACTCAGATTGAAGCTAACGTGAATCTACAGTGGCTAGAGTGGACCCAGAGTGAAACTAACGTGAAAATTTTTTAATTGGGCTGGAGTAAACCGATAGTGAAGCTGACGTTAAGCCATTGTGGAGCTAAACTGAAACCAGAGTGAATCTAACTTGAAAAATTAGTGGCTAGAATGAACCCAGAGGGAGGCTATAATGTTAAACCGTGGACGGGCATGCGTGAGCCCGGAGTGAAGATCAAAGTCACAGCAAAGCTAAAGGGGTTCCGCAGTTAAAACGGAATAAATTCGACGCCAAGAAAAATTATATGAAAAAATAAACCAAAAACGCGCAGGGGCAATGCGAGAGAATTTAAAATGAAGAGTAAGAAATTGAATTTTTCTGTGGTCCGCACTTCACCAAGGAAGGCTTCGAACGAACATACTATCACAAATATTTAATAGTAACGTTCAAACGTTTCATGTTTGAAACGTTCAAACGTTTCATGTTTGAAGGTTCAAACGTGAGACAATTACCGACAAAATGTATTATTTAAATACAGGTGAACAATTTATGCAAACAAACATGCATACAAAACACAGTGAAAAGAATTTAAAATTCATTGCTCAACGTATATTCTCACCTCCAAACATCGCAAAAATAATTTGAAGCGGGGTTCCCATGTCCAGCTTCTTGCTGAGACTACTTCGCAAAACTGTCATTCAGATTATTCACGCAAGATTGACGTATCGAATAATTTCGAACACATCTTGATGCTGATTTTAAATCATGCCTTGAATTTAAATGTAACAGAAAAACAACTCGTCAGTGTTAGTCTTTTACCACGATTTTCGGATAGTTTTTATCTCTTGGGATATTAATTGACGTATTCATGCATTAAGCGTTCGAGGAAATGTGTTCCGTATGCAATGTTTAGTGTTTTATCTTAAAGTGATTCTTTATTCGATATCTTAAAGTTCAGAAGTTGAGTCTGATCATTGTGACCTCCCACCAAGATGTACACAGGTTAAATGACTTTACGTATAAGCTCGTATGATCTACTGTCAAGTCATGCGTGTAAGTGATGGCTGCCAGAGGTCTGGATTGCCTTTTATAACCTCTCCAGCCGGTTGCGTGTCGTGGCGTCTATGTTTCTGGCAACTTCAAGCTTTGTTATCGTATTGCTGATTCAGAACACATCAATATTCGTCTGTAAAGGGGAACAAATACAGGCTCTTGTAAGTCTGTTACCTTATTCAAAATGTAAAAAAATCTTCCCCTAATCGGTATAGTCGTAGCCAAAAGTTTAATTTATTTCTTGAAATGATGGTCAATTTATATTTCAAATTAAAAAAAAAACTTGGGCAGTCTCCGACAAAAGCGGAACATTCGCGTGGGCTACCTCGCGTTCAAATGCCGGCACTATACACCTAGCTGCGACAACTAAAACTGATATGTTTTGCAACTAAAGGTGCCTGTAAACTGGGACAGATAGTGGCGGTCAGTAAAACCTAAATACGGTCAGTAAAACCTACGACTAATTATAATGCTATTGGCCTTGTGTACATAGGCACTACTGACCACGCAAGGACCATGTGAGCCTTTACAATCAACAATGGACTTTATTTCCATTTCTCATTATAAATCCTTGTCCGAAAAATTTTCTTTAGTTTCAATTGTGTAACTCTAAAACGTTCAAGTTTGGCAACTACAACGCCTTACTATGTCATATTGAAACAGATCTCTATATAATAAACGTTAAGCTTCTTTCTTATCCCTTTCGTGACGGCAATGTGTTCTACAACTTTTTATTCGTATTTTTCTACAGAATCATCATGAACTTGGACCGAATAATGCATCTCCGTAAAAAATAATTAAATATATGTTAATGGTAAAAATTATATATTTGGGACTAGAAAATCCCGGTAGTATATGGTTCCAACTGAGGTGACACAATTTACGACATCACTGATTTTGATAAAAAAAATATTTTCGTAATATTTTTTGTTAGCAGTTGAATAATATCACAAACTTCCTTTGGTAAACGCGTGTAATAGCTTATATAATAACATATCCCAAAAAGAACATATATTAATATTCCCTTAGATTGGACATATATAGGCGCAGGAGTGTTTCTTATATGTCCCTGTAGTTAGCTATGCCTTGAATTTTGCGCTACATGCAAGTTATAGAGAAAATCATTGAGCGGGACGTCACAGTCCCTTCAGTCAATTACTTTTGAGTTGACATGGCGCAGGAGTGTTACTCATGTGTCCCTGTAGTTTGCTATGCTTCGAATGGTGCGCTGTACGCAAGTTATGGGATAAAACATTGAGTGGGACGTCACAGTCCCGTCAGTCACGAAAGGGTTATTCACGCCGCAAAATGAGGCTTATTGTCAAAATACTTTTGGGCTTTGATTGTATATTGGAAAACCTAGCACTAACACTCGACCATTTAATAATTTTTAGAGACCAATTTCAATGGCAGTCGAGTTGCGATATGGTACCCTGCCAAATAGAGTTCAAAGCCTTGTTAACTAAGCACCTCATACTTTGGAGTGCACCGAGAGATACATTATTAAATTTCACAATGGCACTTTCATAATGCCGTTTTCAACTAAAACGTTGAAAAGGGAGTCGAAGTGGTACAGTATAGCTTTATATTTCCCTTACGTAGTAATGGGCGATGTCAGAACCCATATGACGCTGCTCTCCTGCAGGACGACCTCAACAAGCTGGAAGACG